ATTAGAGCTTATATCTTCAAAATTGTTTCCAATGATCCTCTGGATTTCAGAAGTGTCTGTGGTAATGTCTCATTTTTTTCATCTTTAAATTTATTGATTTGGGTATTCTTTTTCTTTTGGTTAGTTTGGCTAAGGGCTTATCAACCTTATTTATCTCTTATTTATTTATGCTTTGTTGCATTGATCCTTTATATTTTTCTATTCAGCCTTATATTTTCAATTTCAACTCTGATCTTGTTTCCTGTCTTCAACTGATTTTGTAATTAGTTTGTTCTTCCTTTTTTTAAGTCCTTGATATGTAACTTTAGATTATTTGGGATCTTTCTAGTTTTCTGTTTTAATGTAGGTGCTCAATGCTGCAAATTTTCCTCTTAGAATTACCTTTTACTGTCCCAGAAATTCTGTTAGGTTGTTTCTCTGTCCTCCTTGTTGTCATATTTGCTTTATCTCTCTCTCTCTTTATGATTTGGATGACTTCCCATATTTTCTGTGTTTTGGAATGCTTTCTAAAGCATGGCAACGAGCCATTCTGAAGTGTGGAGAGACGGAGAATTATTCAGTAAAATAACTTGTGTTTTCAAATCTTTTTCTGAGGGTGAGACAGGATATAAGGAATTAGAATGGGAAGGGATTAGTTTATTAACAGCTTTTTCATTTTTCTTAGGTAATTGGGCTTTATTTAACTTTATAATTCTTCTGAATATTTTGCTATATCCCTTTTCTCATCTATCATTATGTTCATGGGCATTCTTTTTTTGTGTGTGATTCAATTTCCCAGGGATTTGCCAGTTGTTTGTATTCTTCTAAAACTGGCTCTTAAACTTGATTTTACAAGACAATTTATCTTTTCTTCCACCTTCTTTGGTTTTCTTCATCATACATTCATTAGGATTTAATGTTTTCTAAAATATGACTTTGAATGTTTAATTCATGCATTTTTCTTCTGTTTGCAAATAATGAAAATATTTGCAGGAGTCATGCTTTTTTTGGTAAAACTTTGTCTCATAGAGTTTAATGTGTGACATTTTAATTTTTAATACCTTCTAAATGTCTTTCGTATTTTTTGTTTTTCCTTGTTTTTTGACTCAGTTCCTTGCAGATGCCTTTTCTGGGATGTTGATAGTCGTACTCTGGAAGTTGTACTTGGAAAATTTTAAGTATTGCACCATTTCCCTCACATTAGTTACCCCTCTCTTTCAGATTTTCTAGTAATCAGAGACCCACTGAGGTGTAGGCATATGTAAGAAGCATCTTGTGAATGGAATGCTCATCTAACATTTACAAGATTATCAAGGCCATGACTCATTTACTGTCTCAGGCTCAAGGGACTTGGTTTTGTACACAGGTATAAAAGCATCCATGTTAGAGGTATGACATGGGATCTGTCTGGCTCCTGTTAATGCCTCATGCAGGAGTGGAACTGAGGACTCCCAGACCTTGGAGGCACTAGTGAGAAGATGAACTATCCTCAGGAAAGGGGTTATGTGAGTGAGGTTGGGTGCTCCTGGGAAAGATGAGTTGATCGCTGGAGACTTTCCCGCCAGAATCTGGGTGATGCTTATTCTCACTTACATGTTTAAAAAGTGCTTTTATTATCAGATGGTTCCACAGGTTTATAATGAGAATTTGGGAAGGCAATGTCCAGTCACTTCCACACTACCATTTTTCTGGGCTGCATCTGGTCTCTTTTATATAATTCTAGTGGTTTCTGGGGCATGAGTCAGAGGTCAAGCTTTGACTTCAAGGTGTGATCTGGTCTCTTTGTCTCCAGGAAATTCTCCTCCCACTTGCATGGGTCTTCTATGGATCTCTCTCTGCTGCTGAGTAGGACTTGGAATCTGGTTAAAGGCCAATCAGATTAGGGACTGTGCCTTGGGAAGCTCATGGATTTCCTGGGAATAGAGACCATCCTGTCAGCATCACTGGGGAACATGGTCAGATTTGTGGTCATGCTAGGAGCTGATTGAGAGTGTGGATGCTGCAGCTGGCTGCTTACTGCAGCTTCCCTGGAAGCTGTGGTGGTGAGTGGAGCAGGACCTGCAGAGGAGACAGCGCTCCCACAGCAGTGGTTTGCCCTGCCCAGCACTTGTGGTGAGGTGCAATGAGCTCTCTTTACGGGAAGCAGTGGTCCAACTGGAAGCTAATTTGCTTTAAGGTTGTTTTCACCACTGAGAGACCCATAAGGCAGAGAGAGGAAAGAGCCCTTGTCTATCTGTGGGAAAGCAGCAAGGCAGGGCCAGGGGTGAGCGTATAGCTGCCACTTTCCCCAGCAGCACTGGGTTAGGCCGTGACTGCCTGAAAGTGGGCGTGGGAGGAGGCCATCAAAAATATCCTCAGATAAAGAGGCCTGCAGCATCCTGCTGGTGGGCATGCCTCTACTCTGTGTTGGATAAGTCATCTTGGTCTTCCTGGTCAAGCATCAGTTAGAGAGGAGATCAATGGGGTACAGGACATGGGAGAATAATGGTCAGGTAAAAGTGGTAGCTTAGGGCTGCTGTCTCATTTGCTTTAGATCTAGATGAGGACTTGCAAAATCCCACAAATCTGCAATTATAACCTTTTTTTCCCCCAAAACTATCTATACCTTTGTAAATCACACTTGAAGTTAAAAGCTATTTCAGGGCAGACATTATTTAATCTGATGTGTTAATTTGTCACCAAAAGATGAGCAGCTCAGAAAAGGCTGAAACAGAGAAGAACTCTTGCCTGTGGCAGCCTCATAACCATTTCTGCTTTTATATTTGGCCACTTTGGGTTTTTCAGGTTGCTAAGACCTCTTCCTTTAGCTTGGAGGACAATTCGTAGCTAGATATTCTGCCAGGAAAGGCCCGCTTCTTTTGCTCTGAACCAACAGGCTGTTTGATTGAATTGATTGCTTCAGTTCCCAAAGTGTGTTTGTGTGTGTGTGTCTGTGTATGAGTGTGTAGACTCAGCATTTTTGACAGTTTGCAATTATAATTACAGAGAAGATCTGGGTGTGATGGCACATGCCTATAATCCCAGCAAGGCCCTAAGCAACTTAGCAAGACCCTGTTTATAAATAAAATATAAAAAAGAGTTGGGGATGTGGTTCAGTGGTTAAGCATCCTTGGGTTTAATCCCTTGCACTGGAAAAGAAAATAAAAGGAAAGAGGTGTGGGGGGCTCTTTTGGGAGGTAGCGGAAGAAAGAGAGTAAAGCATGATGTAGGAATTAGAAAAGAAAATGAAAGACTCAGTATTTTTTTAAAAAAAATTGTGGTAAAACACTACAATATAAAATGTACCATATTAGTCATTTTAAGTGTGCATTTAAGTGGAATTAAGTACATTCATCTTACTGCACAACATTACTAGCATCCATCTCCAGAATTCTTTTCTTAAAACTGAAACTCTATTCCCATGAAACATCAATTCCCCATTCCACCCTTCCTCCAGCCCCTGGCAACCACTATAGGTGCCTCAGTATTTGTTCTTTTGTGACTGGCTTATTTGGACTTAACATAATGACTCAAGTTTCATTCATGTTGTAGGTAAGTCACGGAATTTTCTTCGTCTTTAAGTTTGATGAATATTCCATTACATGTATGTCCCACAGTTTGTTCACCCATTCATCTAGAAGGATCTTTGGGTGCTTCCACCTCTTGGATGTTGATGTTGCTATGAATGTGAGCATGCAGCTATTTCTTTGAGACCTTGATTTTAATTCTTTTGTATCTACCCAGAAAAGAGATTGCTGGATTTTATTACAGGCCTATTTTTAATTTTTTAAGGAACTTCTATACTGTTTTACAATCCCATCAACAGTGCCTCAGGATTCTGATTTCTCCACATCCTTACCAAAACTTGTTATTTTTAAAATTGTTTTTAATAGTGCCATCCTAATGAGTGTGAGATAATATTTGCTGTGGCTTTTAAAAAAATAATAAATAAATTAATTAATTAATTATAATTAGATACATATGACAGCAAAATGCATTTTGATTCATTGTACCTAATAAATAACTAGGTTATTTAATTTGTTTGTTGTTGAGCTATAGGGTATATTCTGGATATTAACCCATGATCAGATATATTATTTACAAGTGTTTTCTTCTATGAACTTTTGTCAGGTCTTACACTTAGGTTTTTAATCCATATCAAGTTAATTTTTGTATAGAGGGTAAGATAAGGGTCTAACTTAATTCTTTTGCTATGGACGTTAAATCTTCCAAACACCATTTGTTGAAAGATGGTATTTTTTTTTCCAGTAAAGAGTATTAGCACCCTATTGAAAATCATTTGAACATAGATATTAAGGTTTTTCTCTGGACTCTGTATTCTATTCCATTGGTCTATATGTCTGTCTTTATGTCAATACCACACCATTTGGATTACTGTAACTTTGCAATAAATTTTAACAAGAGCAAGTTGGAGATTTATAACTTTGTTCGGCTTTTTGGAGATTATTTTGGCTATTCAGGGCCCTTGAAATTCCAAATGAATTTTAGAATAGATTTTTATATTTCTGCAAAAAAAATGTCATTGGCTTTTTGGTAAGGATTGCATTGAATCTGTAGCTCATTTTGGATAGTACGACATTTTAACAATATGGAATCTTCCAATCCATGAGTACAGGATGTGGGGAGACCCAATTTTTTGCCTGGTCATATGCTCTCTTCATTGTTCCCTCACAGTTGTCCCCTTCTGTATGCCAGAGTGACAGCTCTAGAATGGCAATGACAAACTATAACCTCCAGATCTAGGGCCCATGTTGGCTGACACTATCCTCAAGAAGATAGCCATTGAGCCAGACACTGAAGAGTAGCCAGACATTGAAAACCTAAATACTAAATACTAGAATTCTAAATACTAGAATTTGCTTGAAGAGCTTGGCTATCTGAACTCTGATTTGTTGTAGACCCAAATATTAAACATCACATTAAAATGAAATAAAATACCAAGGCCAGATAAGACAGATGGACTCCTTGCTTTTCCCATCACTTATCGTGCTCCCTTGTGTGCTGGATGACTTGTTTTATAGATACATCTTCACTGCGATTTATATTTTGGAAGCCGTGATAAAAATATTGGCAAGAGGTTTTATCCTGGATGAGTTTTCTTTCCTTCGAGATCCGTGGAACTGGCTGGACTCCATTGTCATTGGAACAGCGTAAGATGTTTAAAATTTTTATTGGAGACTTGGGGTGGGAAAGAAGTCCCTCTGCTTCTCTCCAGGCTCTGTGTGGATCCATGTGAGTGACTGAGGTGGCTTGATAATGCTTAGAGCTCTGAGTGTAGTGGTGATTGGCCCTGAACAGTGCGGTGCCCCCAGTTGGTTGGAGGCCGGGAGGCACAAACCCTATACCAATCCTCCTATTCTTCTCCATTCAGCCATTCATGCCATATACTCCCCCACATCAGCCTCTTATGGGCCAAGCCCTGGGCCAGATATGTGTTGATAACAATGAAAAAAAAAAAGCATGATTCTCATCTTCATGAAGCTCACAGTCTAGAGGGGGAGATGGACAAGTAGTGACCATTACAATCTGAGATAGGGGCTCTGCATCTATAGAACTATCAGAGCATATGGGAGGAAGGAAGGACTCTAAAATTTATCTCTGGCTACTGGGAGGTCACAAAGAGTTTCACCCATATTTATTTGTAGAAGTTTATTTATTTATTTATTTTTGGTACTGGGAATTAAATCCAGGGGAGCTTAATCAGGGAGCCACTTTTCGATATACATATATTTTTAGAGACAGGGCCTCACTAAGTTGCTTAGGGCCTCACTAAGTTGCTGAGGCTGGCTTTGAACTTGTAGTCTTCCTGCCTCAGCCTCCAAAGCCAATGGGATTGCAGGTGTGCACCACCATGCCCAGCTACTTATAGAAGTTTCATAATTTTTTGTTTTTAATGTTTATTTCCTTGGTCCACTTGTGTTAATTTCTGTGCATGGCAGGAGGTGATGGTTGACGTTCTTCCTGAAGGAGAGGATACTGATGTGGCACTAAATAATGAGATGGAGTCAGCAGTATTAAAAAAAAATTAAGAAAAGTAACATCTCATTGCTAACACAACAACTATTAACCTAACATTATGTATCTGTGCCAGACATTGTGTTTAGTACTTTGCATTTATTTTCCTATTCATGGTTCCCAAAATCCCTTAGAGGAAGGTGTGATTATTTTCAGAGTTTTGTGTTTGAAGTTCAATATTGACATATTCTTAGTCATTGAAAGTTGGTAAAACCCAACAGTTGAGTGTAGACTCTGAAGACAGACAGCCTGGGATCACATCCAGGTTTGGCCATGTAGGGACTGGGAGACTTTAGCAAAGTACACTGGTGCCTGGAATTTAGTAATCAGTCAGTAAATGTGAAGAAATCCTATTGTCCATGCATGTGTGTAAAGATTAGCTAAGAAGAGGCTCCTGGGCAGGTTGTGGTCCACAGCAATGAGCAGGGATGTTGCCAGGTTCTGTGATGATAGTGGTGCTGGGAGGTTAGGTTGTGGATTTCCCATAGGTGGGTGCAAGCCCCAGGCTGTGCTTCCTCTGGCCTTGGTGGAGACAATCGGTGCAGCTGCTGGATTGAGCAAGCCCAGGCTAACCCTGTGTTCTGTCTTTCAGGATTGCATCTTATTTTCCATTTGGAAAAATCAATCTGTTGTCCCTGCGTACCTTCCGAGTGTTCAGAGCTTTGAAGGCAATTTCAGTAGTTTCAGGTAAGTCACTCTGAATTTCAACACGGGTTCGTATCTTTAAAAATTTCAAAAATGTCATCATGGAAACTAGAATCAAACAAACCTGGCTGGACACTTTTATTTGATTGTTCAATCAATAATTATTGACATAATTATATATCTTTCCAGGTGCTATGCTAGAATGCTTAGGATCTACCGGTGAGAAAACAAAGACCCCTGCCCTCATAGAGTTCATGGTCTAGAGTTGGGAGTGGGGAGACATACAACTGGTATTCTCCAGTTCCATAAGTAAATTATGCAGCAGGTTAGAACCTGCTATGTGCTACAGAAGGTAAAAAGGAAATTTAGACATCACAAGGGCTATGGGAAGTCACAAAGGTTAGGGGAAGCAGATTATAACTTAGGAGTGGTCAGTGTCATTGAGAAGGTGAGAGGTGAGCAAAAATTTGAAGGCGGAGAGGAGGAACATAAACGGATATATTGGAAAGAGGGTTTCCAAGATAGGAACTAGCCGGAGCAAAGATGGAGGTACAGCAAGGTTGTGGGTGGGGCTGGAACAAGGTGAGTGAGGGGCCAGGTGGAGTTGGGAGTCACAGAAGTGAATGGGAGGCTCAGAGGCATGGGGAGGACTTGGATCTGGCTCTGAAGAGATGGGAACTGTGGCGTAGAGAACAGAATGTAGGAAGCCACAGAGGCAGGAAACCAGGGAGAAGGCATGGTAGTTACCATGGAAATATGCTTCTCATCTCCTGCTGCAGGGAGCACAATTAACTAAAGTCCCAGCTGTCACCCCTCTGGAGTCACCACTGCATCCATGCTCATGCCAAGATCCCGCTTGCCCTGCTTGGCGGGTGTGCTAATTGTGGCCCACTCCTGAAGGATCTGGGATCCTCTCATGGCTCAGGGTGCCCCAGCCTCTGGCTGAGACTCATCAGCAGCACTGAGTTTCTTCCTATCCAATCCCACTTCTTTCTGCTGTCTTAGATGTTAAAGGCTATATGGAGTCTGAAGTTTGTCCCTGCAGACTGCTGCTCCCTCTCTGTCCCCTTTCACAGGCATTTCCCCTCAACAAATCTCTTACACACCTGATCCCAGAGTGTCTGCTTCTCAGAACCCAAAGTGGCACAAGTGTCCATCTTTCAAGCAAGGGACAGTGGTACTTCAGGTCAGGTGCTGGGCATAGAGGTGGTGGACAGTGTTCAGAGTCTATCAATTTGAGTGGAGAAGCCACAGGAGTTCCTGACAGGTCGATTGTATGTGTGGTGTGGGCAAAAGAGAGGCGTGAAGGAGGACGCTAAAGTTTTGGCCTGAGTGGACAGATGGAGTTGTCATTGACCGGGATAGAGAAGACCGTGAGAGGATTGGGTCTGGAGGGGAGAGGTTTCGGATGTTTTGTGATTGGGATGTTGGGAGACATCCAAGTGGAAGTCTCAAACAGGCAATTAGGTACATGAATCTGGAATTCCAGTCTGACTGGAGCTATATTTTGGGAATTTTGGGGCCTATAGATTTTATATAGGTTTTAAAGCCATGAAATCTGCTGAGATCACTAAGGTATGGGCTCAGATGGAGACCAAGGCCTGAGCCCCAGGTCACCACAACTTTAAAAGGGAGGGAGAAGAAGAGGAACCGGCAAAAGAGATGAGCAGGAGACACTAATGAAGTGGGAGGGAAACCATAGATGGTCCTCTGGAAGCACAAGAATCAAGGCATCAGGGTCCCAGGCCAGGCCACTTTCCAACTCCAGTGCACAATTTGACAGTTTCCAGGGTTGTTCCCGCCTTACTCCTGGCCAGGTCTGGCCTGGAGTGGGAGGAGCTCCACCCTCACCTGTCCTCCTCCTCCTCAGGTCTGAAGGTTATTGTGGGGGCCTTGCTGCGTTCTGTGAAGAAGCTCGTTGACGTGATGGTCCTCACCCTCTTCTGCCTCAGCATCTTCGCCCTGGTAGGTCAGCAGCTCTTCATGGGAAATCTGAACCAGAAATGTATCAGGACCAACTGTACCCAAAACTTTGAAACTAATGGTAAATATCCCACCTTTCACTCTTTTGTGCATAGCTAACTTTTATTGATCCCCAATCATGCCACCCTGCAAAGTTTGCTCTTAGGAACAAGGGAGGGTGTCATCCATCCAGGGTCTCACTTAAGGATAGTTTTTTTTATTCGTTCTTTTTAGTTACACATGACAGTAGAATGTATTTTGGCAGATTATTCATACATATATTATAACTTATTCTATTTAGGATCCCACTCCTGTGGTTGTACATGATGCAGAGTTACTCTGGCCATGTATTTAAATACAAGGACAGGAAAGTTATGACTGATTAATTCTACTGTCTCTCCTATTCCTGTCCCTCTCTCTTTCCCTTTTTTCCCTTTGTTTAATCCAATGGGTTTCTATTCTTCCCCCCCCACACACACCTCCCTTGTTTGGGTTAACATCCACAAATCAGAGAGGACATTCGGCCTTTGGATTTTGGGGACTGGCTTCTTTCACTTAGCATGGTATTCTCCAGTTCCATCTATTTATCAGCAAATGCCGTAATTTCATTCTTCTTTATGGCTGAGTGATATTCCATTGTGTTATATATACCACATTTTCTTTATCCATTCTTTCATTAAAGGACACCCAGGTTGTTTTCATAGCTTGGCTATTGTGAGTTGAGCTGCTATAAGCATAGACATGGCTGCATCACTGTAGTATGATGTTTTTAAGTCTTTTGAATATATATTGAGGAGTCGAATAACTGGGTTAAATGGTGGTTCCATTCCACGTTTTCTGAGGAATGAAGATAGGTTTCTTAAAGAATTTGCCCTTCTTTGGGATTTTCTAGAGAAGGAAAAACCCAAAGCACATCCACAAGAGCCATGTCCACTCTATCCCCTGCCAGTTAGATCTCAGCCCACTTCTTCATCATGGCCTTTTTTTTTGGATGGTGCTGGGGATTGAACCCAGGACCTGTGCATGCAAGGCAAGCACTCTACCAACTGAGCTATATCCCCACTTTTGCAGAAGTGTTCGCAATGCCTGGATTTGGTAAAAAAGAATCAGCAACTTCCAAACCTCCTCCTCAAGTATCTCCAATATTTCTTTCTGTGCTCACCCTCTGCACACTGAAGTCAACCCTACATCTTCTCCATGTGTCCTGAATTTCAAGTGGCTACACTCTTTCTGCATTGGTCAAGGACAGAGTCTGTGCCCAGCCCCCTGCCACCTCCACCACACCTGGCCCTGCCCTGGGTTGGTCCCTGGCTCATTCACTGTTGTGTGTATATTCTTCCTTTCCCTCTTTTTCTCTTGCTCTTTCCTGAGGGCTTAAGACTCAGTTCCTCTCTGGACACCAACTTTGATGGTTTTAGAGAATTCAGAATCATCTGTTTTCAAAAGTAATTGGGTGTATTTACTGCTCTTTTTTATTTTAGTACTTTTTAAAAAATTATAATTTATGGCTTTTTCTTCTCTCAGAATATTGCTTTGAAAAGGAAGAAGATTCCAAAGAACCCATGTTGTGTGGCAGCTGGTTTGGCAGCAGGTAAGGGGTTTAAACTCTCCCCCCACCCCCACCCCCAAGCACCTCTGGACCTGTGGAATGATGTGGCAAATAGTCTTCATGTAATGACTGGTAGAAACAGTGAGGAGAGTTCTCAAACAGTGCCAATTAGTTCCTGTGTCTAAGCAAAGTTATTTCCTTACTTATTTGCTTCTTTTCTTGGGACAGGATCTTGCTAACTTGTCCAGGCTGATTTTGAACTCAGGATCCTTCTGCCTCAGCCTCCCGAAGAGCTGGGATCACAGGAGTGCATGACCAGGCCCAACTTGCATTATTCAATTGAAAGTTATTTCCAAGTGTTCACAACAGGTTTTCCCCCAATTATGTTGAATGGGTAGCTCATAAGAAATCTACTAAAAACTTAGTGACATTTAACTTGATGGAGTGGATATCAAGACTTTCAAGGGCTTAAAGAAGTCATGGTGGAGAACCACATAGGACTTTGTTTGGTGCCTGCTGGCATTGCCTCGGTGCAAGACTGTCTGAGCTCGCTTCTCTTGGCTGCTGAGCACGCTTCTCTTGGCTCCCAAGCACCACTCCTCTCACTGCAAATGCAGTTGCTTGTGCATTTACACACACTCAGCTCCAGAGTTGGTCACCCTCTGGCCTATGAGAAACCCTTTCTTCTAAGGGCTATGGTGAGAAGTTCAAGTCAATGAAGATTTACTGAGTGTATTTCAAATTAAGATAATATGCAAGGCCCTGTAATGAAATAGATTACATCCATTCCCATATATCAAATAGACATCAGGCCCCACAGCATCTTATGGACAGAGCTGCTGTACTCTCTTGAAATTGACGCCTGCCAGGGAAGATAGACATAGAGTAAATTCTACAAAGTGTGATGTGTGTTGCCAGGGAGATATACAAATGCTGATATATGACAGGGGATGGGGCCCTTTCTGGGGAATTAGGGAAAAGTCTGTCACACCACTTACAAGATGCAACAGGCTTGAATCTAATGTGAGGTTTACTGAGCTCCCTAGAATGGTCCCCGTCAGGACACTCTACCCGCAGTGTCCTCATGTTAACCAGGGATCCTTAGCTTGCTGCAGATAATGACTCTTTGGCCTCTCACCATGCAGGACAGGTATGGATACTGTAGGCAAAATTCAAGGTGAACTGTGTCACCTTGACCTACAAAAGCAACAGCCTTGGTTTCCACCTGGTCTTTATGATGTTCCTGACTCTATGTGTCAGACACTGCTCTCTTAGTCTAAGCTCAGGAGTTTGATAATAAACCAACTTCTAGTCTGTGACATCCTGTGCAGGTCATAGTGCATTAGTTTCTGGGGAGCTGGTACTCTGCAAAGGCAGCTCTGAGATCATCTTCTCAGACAGGCCTCCTCTGGCAGGCCCCAGGGGTCTCCAGGCTTTGCTCTCTGCTGCATTTCTGAGGATGAATTGACCCAAACCCAAAGTGGGAGTGGGAGGTCCTGGTAGGTGGGGTGAGAGCACCCACTTCCCACAGTGGAAACAGCATAGTAGGAGACCTCAGCATGCAAACACATCAGGGAGCACATGAAGCCCAGCAACTGGTCAGGCAGAGGGCAGGAGAGGAGGCAGGAGGAGAAATGGGAGCCAACTGTTCAGGGCCTGGTAGCCTGTCAGTGCCAAGGATTTGGCCTGAATCACAAATGAAACAGGAGATGTAGAGAGGTTTTAATATAGGACAACTATCTGTGTAGATTTTTTAAAAATGGCTTCTGTGTAAAGAATGGAAGGAGAGAGTAGACGAGGAAGTTGCTCTCAAGACTATATGAGTACAAGTGAGAGTCATGAAGCTGTACCATGGAGATGAAGAGAGATGGATGGGTAAGGTCACGGTGTGCCTTGGTGGCAGAGCATGTGCCTAGCATGTGTGAGGAGACCCTGACTTCAATTCTCAGCATTGAAGAAAAATTTTTTTTTAATAAAAAAGAAAAGAAATCAATGAATGAGTCCCAAAGACATTTAGGGGGTAGAAGAAACAGGACTTGTGGATTGAAGGGGACGGTGGTGTATATCAGTGACTACAAATGCGTGTGCATCTGTAAAAGATGGAAGGAAGAGCAAAGGAGAGAGAGCTTACACAAGCTTCCATTCCCCGCGTGGTGCTGTTGGCTGAGATGGGAACGTGGAGGGACAGGCTCAATCACCTGGTAAGTTGATAGGAAGGTGCGTCCAAAGAGGAGGAGATAGGCAAATGGTGACTGGGAAATGGGGGACATCAAGTATGGTGTGACCATCCTCAATAGACTCCTGGAAGTTCGAGGGCACTGGGACTTCATAGCATTTCCCAGTGAGGGCACAAGGGAAGCCCTCCTCCCCAGGTATCCTAAAGCCAAGCCTAGCCCTCAGGACATCCCACTCCACCCACCAGCAAAATTCCCAATCAGTTTGTGAGAGCCGCCACTGGACAACCCAGGCTCACCATGACATCGGGGGACAGGCTTTGACAGAAAGAAGATTCAGAAAAAGAAACAGAACAAGTGGCTATGGACAAAACAAGAATTCAGAGAGCTAAGTGGGTCTTTAAAAACTTTAAGTAGGACCCTTGGTGAAATTAAAAGAGATGTACTGCATACCTAAAACTGAAAATGGCTTGTTAAGAAAAAGGAACAGTCAGAAAACTAGAAATTAATTAGAAATTAAGTGTGATTACAAAAAAAATCTACAATGGAGTGTAAAAGATGAAGCTGAGGAGGCAGCTCAGATGATAGAAACACAAGACAGAAACAGAAAATGTAAGAATAAATATAAAAAAAAATAAAGAAGTTCTAAACTTTTGACTAAGTAGGAATTCCAGAAATAGAGGACAGAACAATTAAAAAAGAATATTAACAACATCAACAACAAAAAAAAAGCAGGGAATTTTTCTGGAACTTAAGGATGTAAGACCCTTGGTGCCCATGAAGTTCCCAACACACCCAAGAGAAAAAGCCCATGCCAAGTGCATTGTCCTGGTATTTCAGGATCTTGTGGGCGAAAGATCTTAAAGCCAAAAAGGAAAAGAAAGTCACCCACAAAGACACCAAAGTTGAAATTGGTATCCAAATTCTCAGCAGAAGCACAGGATAAGAGCTAAGCGATGCCTTCATATTTCTAAGGGAAACCCATTTTTAACATGAAATTCTATCAATCGATTGTGAACATGGGATGACAATGTTCATACAAAAAAGTAAAAGGTCACTCAGTCTTCTTAAGAAGCTACTTTTTCCAGAAAAACGAGGGAGTAAAACTATTCAGCCTGCCAAAGCCAAGGAAAAAATGTCTCCACTCAGGGGAGCCATTGGCATGAGCCACAGTATTTTCCTGGGATAAATGATAGAAGTAGTGGTGAAGTGGTGTGGGATGGTGGAGAGCTGACCCTCACCCACCAGGGCGGGATTCTGATACATCAAATATCAATGTAAGCAATATATTTAGAGGTACAATGTAAAAGAGTTAAAAGTCATTGAATTGTAGTATGTGCGAATGGCACACACATTTCATTACAAGCTCTTTGGTGAATGGAGTCTTTTAAAATTATGTGACAAAATGCTACATTTTCTAAATATTAAGCAAATGCATACCTTTGTAATCCCATGGATATATTGAATGGTGTGTGCTATGGTAAAATGGGCAAAGACCACTGGGCAAAGATATTCATTGCCTAGATGTTTGTAAAAGCAAAAGATGATTAACCTTTAAAACCCAAATATTCATCATTAGCAGAGCAGTAATATAAATCATAAGATGGTAAGATCTGAAAAAGCATGATACAAATCTGAAGAGAAGGACATATTCCCCTGTATGCTAATATAGAAAAATCTCCAAGCTGTATTATTGTAAGAGAAAAGCCAGATGCAGGAGACTATTTAAGGCATGCTCCCCTTTGTATTGTGTATTTGTGTGTATGTGTGTGTGTGTGTGTTTCTGTATTCAGAGAATACTAGCAGGTTGCAAAAGTAACTGTTAAATGCTGCTAGGAAATAATCCTTGAGGGACTGGGGACAGATGGACACAATGTCATTGGCCCTTTTATATTGTTTAATTGCTGGGTCACTGCACTTAATTTTTCAATGAAAAACTTGTTAATATGAATTTATTGATCAATCCATTGGGAAAAGAAGCCCATGAGCAGCCACAGGAGGGTGAAGCCGGGAAGGTGTGGCTGGCAGAGGGATGGACGGCCACTCTACAAATACTCCCAACCCTCCTCCAGGGCTTCCTGGCGTGAGCCAAAGTCCCTCTGAAGAACCACGTCCTGGCGGAAGGAACTGGGCTGTGGGGAATGTAATGCCTTCTCTGATCCCTTGTTTCCAACATCTAGATCCTGTCCCAACAACTCTACGTGCAACCACACCAGAATTAATCCTGACAGTAATTATACAAATTTTGACAACTTTGGCTGGTCTTTTCTTGCCATGTTCCGGCTTATGACTCAAGATTCCTGGGAGAAGCTTTATCGACAGGTTACCTATTGATAGTCTCTCTTTTTCCTCCCTTCCCTTTTCCTCCTGTGTCCGTTATTTACATATTTATTTATTGGAAACCTACCATCCATCCCTATTTTTGTCATGGATTCCTGATGTCTTTAGTAGCTGTATTACTACATTCTGCTTTAGAAGTGCTGTTTGAAATTTCAAGAAAATTATAAATGTGATATTTGGAAGAAGAGCACAAAATGAAACAAAAACAGAACTAAAAACTCTTTCTATAAGTATTATGGCTCTCCAGACTTAATATTGCTGGAAGTTCCACCACTAGTGCTCTCTTCTCTCTCTCTGTCTCTCTCTCTCAAATATAAAAATTCCATTGAGAAGTCAAAAATAGTAAAGTCACTGAGGGTGGATGTATGCATGGCACCTCCCTCCTATGAGATGGGGTATCAGTAGGTACTGGGTGGCTGGGAGGCTGCAGAGGATGTTAAGGTAGCGGAGCCACCCAGACCTAAGGAAAGAACTGTTGTCTGTGGCTGTACCATCTTTCTTGAAGTGATGATCACTCTTCTGTGGAAGAGGCTTCAGATGCAAGCATATGCTCTGTTCCTTGCAGACCCTGCGCACCTCTGGGCTCTACTCAGTCTTCTTCTTTGTGGTGGTCATCTTCCTGGGCTCTTTCTACCTGATTAACTTAACCCTGGCTGTTGTCACCATGGCTTACGAGGAGCAGAACAGGAATGTAGCTGCAGAGACTGAGGCCAAGGAAAAAATGTTTCAGGAAGCCCAGAAGCTGTTAAAGGAGGAAAAGGAGGTAGGGGTATGGGAGGTCAAGACTGTGGGATCTGCACAGGGCAGCAGAAGGACCCCAGAGGCAATGTGACCTGAGGTTCCAGGCTGCCTTGGTCCTGGCCTCAGTGCTTTCTCCACCTGTGCTTTTTTGAGAGTGTAAGCCCCCTGAGGTCTGGTTGTGCTGCTCCCTCTCCAGGTGAGAGCCCTTGAGACTGATGCTCTTTGACCCTTGTAGAATATGTCTCAAATTATAGGCTGGAAGAGACAATTTATGAAAATATAAATCCAGACTCTCTTCCAGGCTTTCTTGTGGAAATTTGGAGACGTTTTGGTTCAGGGGCTTTATTCGGGGGTAGGAGGGGGATCTGGAACAACAGTCCTGATGACTCTCCTTTGCTGAAAACCCCTTCATTCTCATTGTTTCTCTGCTGTCTTTACATTTTCCAGTTCAATGCCAAGATTTTCCAGGGCAGGGACTTGTTTTATACGCCTTGTCATTCTCTACAGAGATGTGTCAGAGGGAAGTCCACTCTAAGTCCTTCATATCTGCAACCTCAGGCATAAGCATTGATTGAGTTCCTAGTGCATGCTGGACATGGGGTAAGGGTTAGTGACAGAGATGTGAGAGTCAACCGCACATCTGACATCTGCAATCTCTGCAAAATATCTGGACATGTTTTCCAGATAAACAAGGACGGAGATGGCATATTCCAGAAAGACAATGAGCAATCTAAACGATGCATCACTACCATGGGAGGGGGGATGCGACGGAGGCTGAGGTCATCTGAACTGTTTTATGGGGAGGTATAATGTGTTGGTTAATTGCTTTTGTTCACTTTCTAAGGCTCTGGTTGCCATGGGGATTGACAGAAGTTCACTCAATTCCCTTCAAGCATCGTCTTTTTCCCCAAAGAAGAGAAAGTTCCTTGGAAATAAGAAAAAGAAGTCCTTATTGAAGAGAAAGTCTAGGAAAGACAAAACTTCAGGATCAGATTCTGATGGAGAGGCTCCCTCAAATGTAAGTCTGGTCCAAAGGATTGATAATACTGGGGGAGGGGAACAGGTTCATGGACCATCTAATTGAAGGGATCCACTCATTCTTCATTTCCTCATTTATCCATTCATCCCTTTGCACATACTTTCATGTATCTACATGTCTATTTAATTACTCATTTATTTATAAACACCTCTTTAAGCTGTTTAGAGTGTTTCTTATTTGCCTGGCACTGGAGTAGGTACTGGAGATGCACGGTTCCTACTTGTGTGTAAGTGTGGGTCCCTCTGGAGCAAAACCAAAGACATTAGGTTGCAAGTAGATTGTTTGGAAAGTCATCCCAGAGAGATGTTTTTCTTCAGTCCTCAGGGGAGAACTCCGAGGGAAAGTGCAGAATCAAGCCAGTTAACACTGAAGGTGGCTGGAGTTGAATCCCTCTGGAGTGAGGGTGTTAGAATACATGAGCACCCACTTCAGTCCATCTTTGGTTACAGATTGCTGGAGACTGGAGACCATTTCCCTGTACTTCTGACTTGCTGTATCCCCTAGGGAAGAGGGAATTTGAGTCCCCAGAGAAAGCCCTTTAATATGGTCCAAGGGCATATGGAGCAACCCAATGCATCTGCTTCCGACAACCAACCCAGACTTGGCAGGGAGCTGGAGGTGGAGGAAGGAAGAGCAGTGGGTCAGAAAAGGGTTCCCAAAAAACAGTACCTCAGCTGAAAGGGTGATGAAAGGAAGAGAGAAGCATCCTTCTCTCTGGGGAGAGGGTTGTGTGCAAGGCCTAGAAATAAAGATGAGCAGGAGAACAGGACCCATTAGAACACTTTCATGTATTTGAATGTGTAAGTGTGGTTGTGTGTTTGCATGCACATGTGTATGATGAGGCAGAGATAATAGCAAGAAGCTGTAGTGGTAAGAGGGGATGATCACAAAAGGCCTTGAAAAGTAAGCCAGTGGGTTCACCCTTTACACTGAGGGCAAGGGGTAAGAAGCCCAGAAATATTTTAAGCAAGGGTGAGATGACCAGAGGCACAGTTTTCAAATGCTAGATGCATTGAAGAGAGGAGATGGGAGGAGACAGGACTAGAGGCATTGAATTAAGAGGTTGCTATAGCAACCCAAGTAAGAGATGATAGGAGTGAAACTATGGTTAGGGCAGCGAGGATGAAGGATGAACAGACTGCATGAAAAGTATGCAGAAAAGTATAGATCAAGTCTGGCAATTGAATTGAGCAGAGCATGGATGTGATGCCTGACTAGGTATCGGGTAGATGACTCAATGGAAGGTCATTTACTGAGAGGAAAAAAACTTGATTTGGGGGTGGGAAAGATGGCCAGCTGAGTTTTGGATGTACCAATTTAGAGGTGCCCATGGGACATCCCAGCAGGGATGTTAAGTGGATAGTGAGTGTGTTATACAGAAAGGAGCCAATAAGGGAATATGTAGTAGAAAAGTCACCCTTATCATTAAGGTGGATGATGTTAAGACACGGCTTAATTAGGAAGAGAAAAATCAGAAGAGGAATATGTTGAAGACACAATCCAGGGAAGCATGGCAAGAGTCACTCTCCTGAGGTGGACAGAGGGAGGTGTGGGTAGAAGGTTCATGCCTGATGACAGGGTGATGAAGGGAGCCCAGGGCCCTTGCAGAAGTAGCTAGAAGGACTCCATCCACCGCTGCAGTGAGTCTGTGCTGCAGAGATGGGGGCAGGGGCTCGTGATTGACAGATTTCTTCTATTAGATAATGATATAAAGAAAAGACTGCAAATATGTCCTTTAGTATTTTTAAAGTTTTCTCCTCATTTCACAAAACACTAGACAAAGACCCAGACACCTTAGATGAATCATCCCTCCCCCCTTAACAAGAACTGGGAATAATTATTGAAAAGACTCTGGTTGGTCAAAACTGTGGGCAAATAAGCCATTCTGGATACTGAGTTTTCCTGAATAACAGAAGGTTTACATCCTTTGATCTACAGTGACTTAAGAATTGTAGGTAAGATGGAAATCAACAAGCCCTTGTTCATAGCTTGAGAGAGTGCTTGAGATTCGGTATACAGATTTTGTGATATTTAATTGGACTGTTTTTTTGTTGTTGCTTCTGGAGATCGAACCCAGGGCCTCCTGCGTGCTAGGCAAGTGCTCAGCTACTGAGGTACAATTGCTAGCTGGACTGTTCTTTTTTGTTGTTGGTACTGGGGATTGAATCCAGGGGCACTTTACCACTGAGCTGCATGCATGGTAGCTCAGCCCTTTTTATTTTATTTTTGAAACAGGGTCTCACTAAGTTATCCAGACTGGCGTTGAACTTGCCATCCTCCTGCCTCAGCCTCCTGCATCGAAGGGGTTTATGGCATGCACCACTGCAGCCAGCTTACTGACTATTCTTTTTAGTGACTGTTTTAAAATCTATTTAAGCAACCATTCAAAGAACTTCACTATATGGCCCCTATCCACTTTTGTAAATCTATCCCCAACTTCTGCCCTTTGCAAACATTGTTCCCCAATTAGACATTTTACCACTTTCATACCAGCAGCCATTCCTCACTAGCTTTTGTAGAAATTTGCCTGCTCTTTGTGGACATTGAATAAAGCCCAAGGTAAAATTTCTGTCGGTGGAAATGAGCAGGCAATAAGAAATATGAGTGGACAAACCGTGTTTTTCCGATCTGTTAAATATGGCATAAGGAAAGTGAGCATTTGGCACGCCTTGAGGATGGAGTTAGTAGACCTTCAGAAATTGTTGAGCACCTTCATTGCATGTAGCACTGAGACAAAGTAGTTTGTAAAGTTTTGGAGAGGAGGAACGCCACCCCCCCCCCCCCCCGCACCCCTGCCTTCAGAAGGTCCACCATGCCTTCTCTTACAGCCACCCCTTCTAGAGCAAACCAAACGATTGTCCCAGAACCTGCCAGTGGATCTGTTTGATGAGCACGGAGACCCCTTCCAAAGACAGAGGGCACTGAGTGCTGTCAGCATCCTTACCATCACCATGCATGGTAAGTTCCTCCTCCAGGGCCAAGGGAAAGAATCACTTCAATGATGTCCTTTCTTCATCTCCCCTTCCAGTCCTCCAAAAGCCCTCTATAGAAGAGGCTCACTGTACCATCCTGCAAATTGGGACTTCCTGTACCTTCTTGGAACATGTCAGCAAAGTGGCTTGGATGAAATGGGCCCTCCCTTAACTGAGTGCCACTCTGAGTGGGCCCTTGGGTAGTGATGAGAACTAGTTAGACGTAGGATGAGACTTCAGACCAAGAGCACAGATGGGGTCTCACAAGTAGGCCAGGCAGTTGCAGGAGGCCTGAGTGACAATGATAGCTAAAAAGAGTTGACTTATCCAGGAGATGACGGTTGTCATTAAAGTTAGTCAGGAATCTGGTATGGGCAATAGAAGACCTGTACAGACAAGGTGGAACTATCTGATGACTTTTTTAACAGCAGGTAATAGGGCCCCAATTAAGGAGCCAGTGTTCAGGTCCTTGCAAGGGTTGGGTCATATGAGTCCCTTGCCACTTTTGAACCTATCACTTTGCCTCATTTGGCTTGCGGTAGGTCCTGAAATGGTGCCATAGAAGTCAGAGGCCTGATCTCAAGCAGTTCCTAAGGTGCCTTTTATTGTTTATAAGTGCTTACAGATACCCTTCCCCCAAGCCCTGATTAGTCCCCAGTGCCCCTTTTATAGCCATCACCATAGTGTCTTGAGAGGACATGGCTTGTGCCTATATCTTCCTTATGGGTTCCCAGCCAGTCAGTGTTGACTTCCACATCTGTATACATCTGTACCTCTAACAGTGCAGCCCAGCTCCTGGAGGCTCCATAAGCATCAAAACTTGATGTCTTTGACTGTCCCACACACTAGTTGTATGTGGGAAATCGTCTCCTCTGCACTGTGATTGGCTGGAAAGCCTAGTTCTGGCTACCACAGTCAGTGCCTGGTTTGAACACAGATCCCTAGAGACCCCAGAGAGGAGGGGGAAAGGAATCCACTGGGGCAAAGAGCAGCCAGAGACTCCAGACCTAACTCCTCAATCACCCTTTCATTCTCCTTCTCCAGAACAAGAAAAATCCCAGGAGCCTTGTCTCCCATGTGGGGAAAACCTGGCATCCAGATACCTCGTGTGGAACTGCAGTCCCTGGTGGCTGCGCCTTAAGAAGGCCCTGAGATTTGTGATGACTGACCCTTTCACTGAGCTGGCCATCACCATCTGCATCATAATCAATACCATCTTCTTGTCCATGGAGCATCATAATATGGATCCATATCTGAAGAGCATATTGCAAAAAGGAAATTGGGTAAATTCAGGCTTTTGTGAAATATAAAGTATATTTCCAGTTTTGAATTACAGCTCTTTCAAAGTCCAAATATTTTGTGAGTGGCCTAACCTAAACTAGGTCTTTGGTCTCTGTAAGTGGAGGAGAGGGAACTATGACTGTCAGGATTTTATTTTTACCCAGTTCGTCTTAGTAATGTTCCATGTTAGCCATGTTAGCCCTGTAGTAGGTCACTTTCGTATCTAGTGGTAAGTCAGAAACAACCTCACTGTGGTGCTGGTGGGTGGGAGGGCTTTTGAGTCTTAATTTTCAAAAATATTTTCCTTTTATTTCTCTCTTTCTCCTCCACCCCGTTTTCTTTCTTTCTGTAGCAGGGATTAAACCCAGGGGGTGCTTAACCACTAAGCCACATCCCCAGCCCTTTTTATTTTTATTTTTGAGATGGGAGTCTCACTAAACTGCTTAGGGCCTTGCTAAGTTGCTGAGGCTGGTCTCAAACTTTTGACTTTTCCTGCCTCAGCTTCCTAAGAGTCAGTGGTATTACAGGCATGCACCACCACCACACCTGGCACAAGTAGACGTCTTAAAATTTGGGATAATCAGGATAATATTAACCACATCCGGAGACCCATGGTATTGACCACCGTGATCCCCAGAGATACTCATAACATCATTTGTCATAAAACAAGGCTGCCATTACTTAGGTGTTCTCCCTGGAAGGTGAGTCAGGACCTGGAAGCTGTGGGGGGTTCATTTTCTTAGGAGAAGGCGTGGAGCATTCAGAGTGGGCTTCCGGATTTGAGCCCCTTTCAGGATTTCTCATGGGATAGATCTAGACTCAGTTAAACTGGGAAAATTAAGACAGGGGAATAGACTTTTCAAGGCCTGTCCACTTATAGAAGGCATTTTTCTCAAGGGAAAATTAGTTTCTCAGATATCAGGAACAACAAATAATTAGCCATTGGATGTTTTACCTTAGTTAATTAATAGGTTAATGGGCTAAAAAAAAAAAAAAAAAAGAAAATCTCACCAGAACACCTATTTTTTTCTTCATGAAGTTTCATTTACTTTTCCAATTTTATTTTTTTTCTTTTGTAAATGCAATATAATTGTCAATCTTAGTAATCAGAATAATTAAGTGCCAGCTAATACAATGAATTACATTAGAAATGCTTCTTAAAACAAGTATGCAAACACCATCCCCTTCAAACCCCAAGATTTAAAGGAAAATGTTTTCAATGGCTTCCTTTTAAAGGTAAGCCATTCTAAAAATATAAATGGATTTTATGAATAGGCCATTTAAATGTTAATCATTGTTTTATTTTTTTTATTTTTTTTTTAAATTTTTTATTGTTGGTTGTTCAAAACATTACATAGTTCTTGATATATCATATTTCACACTTTGATTCAAGTGGGTTATGAACTCCCATTTTTACCCCATATACAGATTGCAGAATCACATCAGTTACACATCCATTGATTTACATATTGCCATACTAGTGTCTGTTGTGTTCTGCTGCCTTTCCTATCCTCTACTATCCCCCCTCCCCTCTCCTCCCCTCCCCTCTTCTCTCTCTACCCCCTCTACTGTCATTCAATTCTCCCCCTTGTATTATTTTTACCTTTCCCCTCACTTCCTCTTGTATGTACTTTTGTATAACCCTGAGGGTCTCCTTCCATTTCCATGCAATTTCCCTTCTCTCTCCCTTTCCCTCCCACCTCTCATCCCTGTTTAATGTTAATCTTCTTCTCATGCTCTTCGTCCCTACTCTGTTCTTAGTTACTCTCCTTATATCAAAGAAGACATTCGGCATTTGTTTTTTAGGGATTGGCTAGCTTCACTTAGCATAATCTGCTCTAATGCCATCCATTTCCCTGCAAATTCTATGATTTTGTCATTTTTTAATGCAGAGTAATACTCCATTGTGTATAAATGCCACATTTTTTTTATCCATTCATCTATTGAAGGGCATCTAGGTTGGTTCCACAGTCTTGCTATTGTGAATTGTGCTGCTATGAACATCGATGTAGCAGTGTCCCTGTAGCATGCTCTTTTTAGGTCTTTAGGGAATAGACCAAGAAGGGGAATAGCTGGGTCAAATGGTGGCTCCATTCCCAGCTTTCCAAGAAATCTCCATACTGCTTTCCAAATTGGCTGCACCAATTTGCAGTCCCACCAGCAATGTACAAGTGTACCCTTTTCCCCACATCCTCTCCAGCACTTGTTGTTGTTTGACTTCATAATGGCTGCCAATCTTACTGGAGTGAGATGGTATCTTAGGGTGGTTTTGATTTGCATTTCTCTGACTGCTAGAGATGGTGAGCATTTTTTCATGTACTTGTTGATTGACTGTATGTCCTCCTCTGTGAAGTGTCTGTTCAGGTCCTTGGCCCATTTGTTGATTGGGTTGTTTGTTCTCTTATTGTCTAATTTTTTGAGTTCTTTGTATACTCTGGATATTAGGGCTCTATCTGAAGTATGAGGAGTAAAGATTTGTTCCCAGGATGTAGGCTCCCTATTTACCTCTCTTATTGTTTCTTTTGCTGAGAAAAAACTTTTTAGTTTGAGTAAGTCCCATTTGTTGATTCTAGTTATTAACTTTTGTGCTATGGGTGTCCTATTGAGGAATTTGGAGCCCGACCCCACAGTATGTAGATCATAGCCAACTTTTTCTTCTATCAGACGCCGTGTCTCTGACTTGATATCAAGCTCCTTGATCCATTTTGAATTCACTTTTGTGCATGGCGAGAGAAAGGGATTCAGTTTCATTTTGTTGCATATGGATTTCCAGTTTTCCCAGCACCATTTGTTGAAGATGCTATCCTTCCTCCATTGCATGCTTTTATCCCCTTTATCAAATATAAGATAGTTGTAGTTTTGTGGATTGGTTTCTGTGTCCTCTGTTCTGTACCATGAAAAAGGCAATATCACAACAGACACTTCAGAAATACAGAAGATAATCAAAAATTATTTTGAATCCTTATACTCCAATAAATTAGAAGATAGTGAAGGCATAGATAAATTTCTTAAGTCATATGATCTGCCCAGATTGAGTCAGGAGGATATAGACAACCTAAACAGACCAATATCAATTGAGGAAATAGAAGAAACCATCAACAGACTACCAACTAAGAAAAGCCCAGGACCGGATGGGTATACAGCAGAGTTTTACAAAACCTTTAAAGAGGAACTAATACCAATACTTTTCAAGCTACTTCAGGAAATAGAAAAAGAGGGAGAACTTCCAAATTCATTCTACGAGGCCAACATCACCCTGATACCTAAACCAGACAAAGACACTTCAAAGAAAGAAAACTACAGACCAATATCTCTAATGAACCTAGATGCAAAAATCCTCAATAAAATTCTGGCGAATCGGATACAAAAACATATAAAAAAAATTGTGCACCATGATCAAGTAGGATTCATCCCTGGGATGCAAGGCTGGTTCAATATACGGAAATCAATAAATGTTATTCACCACATCAATAGACTTAAAAGTAAGAACCATATTATCATCTCGATAGATGCGGAAAAAGCATTCGACAAAGTACAGCATCCCTTTATGTTCAAAACTCTAGAAAAACTAGGGATAACAGGAACATACCTCAATATTGTAAAAGCAATCTATGCTAAGCCTCAGGCTAGCATCATTCTGAATGGAGAAAAACTGAAGGCATTCCCTCTAAAATCTGGAACAAGACAGGGATGCCCTCTATCTCCACTTCTGTTCAACATAGTTCTCGAAACACTGGCCAGAGCAATTAGACAGATGAAAGAAATTAAAGGCATAAAAATAGGAAAAGAAGAACTTAAATTATCGCTATTTGCAGTGACATGATTCTATACCTAGCAGACCCAAAAGGGTCTACAAAGAAACTATTAGAGCTAATAAATGAATTCAGCAAAGTGGCAGGATATAAAATCAACATGCATAAATCAAAGGCATTCCTGTATATCAGCGACAAATCCTCTGAAGTGGAAATGAGGACAACCACTCCATTCACAATATCTTCAAAAAAAATAAAATACTTGGGAATCAACCTAACAAAAGAGGTGAAAGACTTATACAATGAAAACTACAGAACCCTAAAGAGAGAAATAGAAGATCTTAGAAGATGGAAAAACATACCCTGTTCATGGATAGGCAGAACTAACATCATCAAAATGGCGATATTACCAAAAGTTCTCTATAGGTTTAATGCAATGCCAATCAAAATCCCAACGGCATTTCTTGTAGAAATAGAGAAAGCAATCATGAAATTCATATGGAAAAATAAAAGACCCAGAATAGCAAAAACAATGCTAAGCAGGAAGTGTGAATCAGGTGGTATAGCGATACCAGACTTCAAACTATACTACAGAGCAATAGTAACAAAAACAGCATGGTACTGGTACCAAAACAGGCAGGTGGACCAATGGTACTTTTCCAATTTTAAAAAGCAGTACATGGTTAAAAAAATAAAGGAAAATATAAATAAGGGGAATACAAAGAAGAAACTCAATATCCATGGTCATATCAGCAAAGATGATCGTATTGGCACTGCAAAACATTTCCAGGAAATATGATTATGTGTGTATGTATGCATGCATTTATGTTTGTTGATTTTATTTTCTTTCTCAGATTTCCCACTGATAGGGATTCTAAGTGTTGAGGTTAAGCTGCCTTTTCCAGTTGGAAACCAGCTAGCTGATTAAGTGACATTCTTCTTTACTCTCTTCAGAAGCAGAAGGAGCCCCAGGAACATCATTGTTTTCCAAATACACACTCAGTAGCTACACCCCAGCTCTTAAAAATAGACAGGACATATGTAGAACTGTCCACATAGCTTCTATTTCCCTTCCATGTGCCCCACATTCCCTAGACGTGCAATACAAAGATGGCAGCCACCTCATCTGTTGCCCTCAATGTGGTGCTGGTGGTTGGGAGAAATTTTGAGTCTTGATGTTCAGTAAACACATTCAGACCTCCCCCCTCCAATGGATGGATCAGGATTATGCTAGTCTGTGGAATTCTATGGCATTGGACTCTCCTTGTTTGGGGATTGTTCCTATCAGAGAATACATTAAGCTCCCAAGATGCCATAAATAGAAATTGGATTAGCTTGACAAATTCAACGGACCGAAAGCATCTTGGGATGTTGTAGAGTTACACATCTAAAGTCTAAGGAGACAAGAGGAGGAGGGAGAGTCACAGGGGTCATGGGGCAGTCCATAACCATCCAGGACAGGTGCTGGCATTGAGAAGGGGTATACAGCAGAGTTTAAAGGGGAAATAGGGAAATAAACTTGAATATTCTTGGCCCCCCACCACTGGATTATTTTTCTGTATATTCTGGTTATATTTATTTATTTATTTTTAACTTGGGTCATGGGTTTCATAATAATAAATCATTGCATTATTTATAAAAACAGACAATCTGCTATTTTTAATAAGGAGATTTAATTATTTTTTATGGCAACTTGTTTTAATTAAGAATGTGAAATCAAAATTTTAAAGATTTTATGTAGCATTTATTTTAAATAATACTGGAATCTCAACCAGTTTTAGACTTTTCCAACCTGAAAGGCAGTTTTAAACTATCTCCCTGTATTTACGGGGTTTTCATCCAGAAATGCAGTAGAGAGTCCTTATTACTGATAATGTTTCCAAAGAGTTTAATACTTTTAATATTACTTTATTATTTTCATACTTTTGTTTTATTTCCAATTTATGTTTATTAGAGTGTGTGTGTATATGTGTTTGTATGTGTGAGAGAGATAATGTGCTATTTGCTATGAAGAAATGGTTTGCTTTATCTTATGCACAGATTGGGAGATATATTTAGTTTTAATTTGGCTACTGCTTAGTCAACATTTTACATACTTCTTAAGCTTGTATTTGTTTAGTTATCAGAGACAAAGACAAAACAATTTATTTTTGCTTATGAAACACACATGGCACTTTTTATAACTCTTAGCCCTCCTTTTAATTCTCTGATATTTTGTTGTGAGATGAAAAGCCCTGCAGTCTCAGTGAGTTTTGAAGGTTTTATTTTGATTCACTAATCCTTTCAACTATAACCATGTTTAGACATATTTTTCATAATAATAAATCATTACATTATTTATAAAAACAATCTACTACTTTTAATAAGGAGATTTAATTACTTATGGTTTTTTATGGCAAATTGTTTTAATTAAGAATGTAAAAATCAAAATTTTAAAGACTTATGAAGCATTTATTTTAAATAATACTGGATTCTCAACCAGTTTATCCCATATGTTGGGCTGCTCAAAGACATTTTTGTATGCCTGATGGTGTTTTCTAATTCTCTGCTCTGGACCTCTCTAAAAAACAAAAACAATTTTTTTTTTAATATCAAGATGTTGTGATTGAATGGTTAGGTGAACTCTTCCTAGACTCGTTTATGTAGGCTATTTATCCTGAGTGTTTGGAGCAGCTGTTCACCCTGTCTTACCCTGCCCCTTCTAATTTGGGAGTTTTTAATTGGTAAGGATAATGCAGAGGAGGAATTGCCTGACATTTTCTTTTTTTTTTTTTTAAGAGGAATTTTTTCTTAACCTTTATTTTATTTTATGTGGTGCCGAGGATTGAACCCAGTGCCTCACTCATCTCCCTCATGCTAGGCGAGTGCTCTACCGCTGAGCCACAACCCCAGCCCAAGAATTGCCTGACATTTTCTACCACCCAGCTAACAGCCAAGGATCTAGTTTCACCTGATTTTTTCAACACAATAGGAAATAACATTCATTTTCCATCCTGATGTCTGTGAGCTTGATAACACCATGGACAATGACTGAGAAGAACAAAGGTACCGCAATAAGGGGTTCTGTTGATTGGACTTCAGAGTACATTGTATCAATCACAAGAGTACTTTTTATTTCTTTGTAACCTCTGTAATTCCAGGGGACCATTCTTAAAAGTGTGTCTTTTCTCATTCTTCTTGGTCTTACTACAGGTTTTCAGTGGCATTTTTATAGCAGAAATGTGCCTAAAAATCATCGCACTTGATCCATACCACTACTTTCGCCAAGGCTGGAACATTTTTGATAGCATCGTAGCTCTCCTGAGTGTTGCAGAAGTCCTCTGTGAAGAGTCAAAGTGGTCATTCTTGCGTTCCTTCAGAGTGGTAAGGCACTTTCTTATTTCACTGCATCCCACTTAGTCATCCATACTGAAGAGTCTTGAGTAAGTTCAATGACTAACTTGGACTAAAATTGGATTCATCTTAACTTTAACCCTAGAACATAATTTGTACTCCTCCTGACACTCAAAATTGTAATAGTCTTGGAAATCTCGGGGAGTCTTCTCTCGAATGAACCCCTATTCCGTCCCCTTACCAAGATGACCTTTAGGTGATTAGATTAAAAAATGTGTTTCCCATGGTCAGGACTCTGTTTCTTGCATTTTTGCACAACCCCGGCAATACTCTGTTTCTCTCATTGTGGACTCATCAATGGGGTGAAGACTATGGAGCCCATGAGAGGGATGCGTGCTGCCCCCAGGTGCTGTCTCAGAACGCATCAGCCCATTTTCTTTATCTGTTTGCCAGCTGATGGTCACTTATATGTTTATCTGGCTTTTGTGACTAGTGCTGCTATGAAAATGGGAGCACAGACGTCACTTCAATAAACTGGTTTCATTTCCTGATATACTGGATATATACCCAGTAGTGGGATTGCTGGATCATATGGTAGTTCTTTTTCTTTTTTTTTTTTTTTAGTAGTCTCTATACTGTTTTCCATAGTGAGTGTGTGAGTTCATATTCCCACCAATAATATGCAAGTGTTCCCTTTTCTCCACCTACTCACCAGCACTCGTTATCTTTTGCCTCTTGGAAAATGTTACCAAGTTTGATCCCAAAGGCTGGGGCTTTTTTCTCTCTTGGAATCATAGAACCAATAACAAGAATGAGCACCCACAAGCAGTGGAGGAGACTTGTGTTCTTGACTAAGAATAGAAGTGGGAGAGAACTTGCAAACCAACTTCCTGCTTCTTTGGGGTTGGTAGGTTTTAGATAAAGGATTTTGAAAAAAAGAGGGAAGGGAGAGGTGAATAAAGTCCAATTCATGCGTTTTCTGGTAATGGACAGAGATTTTCAGGAAATTTGGGCTCCAACCCCCTTTTTGCCCATTTTATGATTCTTTCTGGTTGTTATCAGGGCCATTGCCAATTGTCATGGTGCTGGGGGGGGAGGTGTCATTCAGTGTGAAGATGGGGCCACTCTGGTTAGCTCTCTTGGATCCGTCTGGTTTCAGCCAGCTCAACTAACTATCTTCAGTCTTCATTGATAAGCAAGATTAGGGTCCAGTAAAAATTAGCTGGACTACCCAGGTGGTACAAAATTAGGGCAGAGTAACAATGATAGCTATGCTAGCAAGAGTGAGGTGAAAGCTCATTGTGGTTTTGATTTCATTTTCCTGATGATTAGTGATGCCGAGCCTTTTTGTTGTTGTTGTTGGCCACTGTATGTCTACTTTTGAGAAGTGTCTATTTTGATCTTTTAAATTAGATGTTTTTTTTACTATTGAGTTTGTATATCTTTTCTTCTTCTTTTTGTGTTAATTTTTAAAAATTTATGTATGACAGCGGAATGCATTACAATTCATATTACACATGTAGAGCACAAATTTTCATATCTCTGGTTGAATACGAAGTGTATTCATACCAATTCGTGTCTTCATACATGTATTTTGGATAATAATGTCCATCACATCCACCATTATTTCTAACCCCATGCCCCCTCCCTTCCCCTCCCACCCCTCTGCCTTATCTAGAGTTTGTCTGTTCCTCTCATGCTCCCTCTTCCTACCCTACTATGAATTAGCCTCCTTATAGCAGAGAAAACATTTGGCATTTGGTTTTTGGGGATTAGCAAACTTCACTTAGCATTATCTCCTCCAACTCCATCCATTTACCTGTAAATGCCATGATTTTATTCACTTTTATTGCTGAGTAATATTCCATTGTGTATAAATGCCACATTTTTTTTTATCCATTCATCCACTGAAGAATATCTAGGTTGGTTCCTCAATTTAGTTATTGTGAATTGTGCTGCTATAAACATTGATATGGCTGTGTCCCTGTATGCTGTTCTTAAGTCCTTCTGATATAGACGGAGGAGAGGGATAGCTAGGTCAAATGGTGGTTCCAGTCCTGGTTTTCCAAGGAATCTCCATACTGAGTTCCATATTGGCTGCACCAATTTGCAATCCCACCAGCAGTGTATGAGTGTACCTTTTCCCCTCATCCTCGCCAACACTTATTGTTGTTTGTATTCATAATAGTTGCCATTCTGACTGGAGTGAGATGAAATTTTCGAGTAGTTTTGATTTGTATTTCTTTAATTGTTAGAGATGTTGAACATTTTTTCATATATTTGCTGATTGATTGTATATCATATTCTGAGAAGTGTCTATTAAGGTCCTTAGCCATTTATTGATTGGGTTATTTGTTGTTGTTATTTTTGGTGTTTAGCTTTTTCAGTTCTTTTTATACTTTAAAGATTAGTGCTCCATCTAATGTGCGAGGGGTAAAAATTTGCTCCCAAGATGTAGGCTCTCTATTCACCTCATAGATTGTTTCTTTTGCTGAGAAAAAACTTTTTAGTTTGAATCCATCCCATTATTGATTCTTGAGTTTAATTTTTGCACCAATGGAGTCTTATTAAGGAATTTGGGGCCTAATCTCACATGATGATGATTAGGGCCTACTTTTTCTTCAATTAGACGCCGGGTCTCTGGTTTTATTCCAAGGTCCTTGATCCATTTGGAGTTGAATTTTGTGCATGGTGAGAAATAGGGGTCTAATTTCATTTTGTTGCATATGGATTTCCAGTTTTCCCAGCACCATTTGTTAAAGAGGCTATCTTTTCTCCAATGCATGTTTTTGGAGCCTTTTTCTAATATAAGATAATTGTAATTTTGTGGATTAGCCTCTGTGTCCTCTATTCTGTACCATTGGTCTACTAGTCTGTTTTGGTGCCAATACTATGCTGTTTTGTTACTATTGCTTTTTAGTATAGTTTAAGGTCTGTATAGTGATGCCACCTGCTTCACTCTTTTTAGCTATTCTGGGTCTCTTATTTTTCCAGATGAATTTCATCACTGCTTTTTCTATTTCTATGAGGAATGCCATTGAGATTTTGATCAGAATTGCATTAAATCTGTATAGTGCTTTTGGTAGTATGGTAATTTTGATAATATTAATTCTGCCTATCCAAGAGCATGGTAGATCTTTCTATCTTCTAAGGTATTATTTGATTTATTTCTTTAGGGTTCTGTAGTTTTCATTATATATATCTTTTACCTCTTTTGTTGATTCCCAAGTATTTTATTTTTTTAAGGCTATTGTAAATGGGGTAGTTTTCCTCATTTCCCTTTCTGAGGACTTGTCACTGATATAAAATGCTTTTGATTTATGGGTGTTGATTTTATATCCTGCTACTTTGCTGAATTTATTTAATAGTTCTAGAAGTTTTCTGGTGGAATTTTTTTGGGTCTTCTAGGTATAGAATCATATCATCAGCGAATAGTGATAATTGATGTTCTTCTTTTCCTATGTGTATCCCTTTAATTTATTTGGTCTGTCTAATTGCTCTGGCCAGTGTTTCAAGAACCATGTTAAATAGAAGTGGTGAAAGAGGGCATCCCTGTCTTGTTCCAGTTTTTAGAGGGAATGCCTTTAATTTTTCTTCACTTAGAATGATGTTGGCCTGGGGCTTAGCATAGATAGCCTTTATGATGTTGAGATATGTTCCTATTATTCCTAGTTTTTCTAGTGTTTTGAACATGAAGGAGTGCTGTATTTTGCAAATGCTTTTTCTGCATCTATTGAGTTGATTATATGATCTTTTCTTTAAGTCTATTGATGTGGTGAATTACATTCATTGATTTCCATATGTTGAACCAACCTTGCATCGCTGGGATGAACCCCACTTGATTGTGGTGTACTATCTTTTTGATATGTTTTTGTATTTGATTTGCCAGAATTTTATTGAGGATTTTTGCAATCTATGTTCATTAGAGAGATTGGTCTGGAGTTTTCTTTCTTTGATGTGTTTTTGCCTAGTTTTGGAATTAGAGTGATATTGGCCTCATAGAATGAGTTTGGAAGTGCTCCCTCTTTTTCTATTTCCTGAAGTAAATTGGAGAGTATTGATAGTAGTTCTTTTTTTCTTTAAAGGTCTTTTAGAAATTGCCTGTGTATCCATTCAGTCCTAGGCTTTTCTTAGTTGGTGGGCTTCTGATGGCGTCTTCTATTTCATTGCTTGAAATTGACCTGTTTCGATTGTGTATATCATCCTGATTCAATTTGGGCAAATCATTTGACTCTAAAAATTTGTTGATGCCTTTGATATTTTCTATTTTATTGGAGTGTAAGTTTTCAAGACAATTTCTAATTATCTTCTGTATTTCTGTAGTGTATGTTGTGATATTTCCTTTTTTCATCATGTATGTTAGTAATTTTAGTTTTCTCTCTCCTTCTCTTCATTAGCATGGCTAAGGGTCTGTCAATTTTACTTATTTTTTTCAAAGAACAAACTTTTTGTTCTGTCAATTTTTTCCATTGTTTCTTTTGTTTTCATTTCATTGATTTCAGCTCTGATTTTAATTATTTCCTGTCTTCTACTGTGTTTGGTGTTGGTTTTTTCTTCTTTTTCTAGGGCTTTGAGATGTAACGTTAGGTCATTTATTTGTTGATTTTTTCTTCTTTTAAGGAATGAACTCCATGCAATGAACGTTCCTCTTAGAACTGCCTTCATAGTGTCCCAGAGATTTTCATATGTTTTATCTGTGTTCTCATTCACCTCTAAAATTTTTTTAATCTTCTCCTTGATGTCTTTTGTAACCCATTGTTCATTCATTAGCATATGCAGTTTCCAGGTGTTGGAGTAACTTTATTTCTTATTTTATCATTGATTTCTAATTTTATTCCACTATGATCTGATAGAATGCAGGGTAGTATCTCTACTTTTTTGTATTTGCTAAGAGTTGCTTTGTGGCATAATTGTCTATTTTAGAGAAGGATCCATGTGCTACTGAGAAGAAAGTGTACTTGCTTGTTGAAGTGTGAAATAATCTATATATGTCAGTTAAGTCTAAGGTATTGATTGTATTATTGAGTTCTATAGTTTCTTTGTTCAGCTTTTATTTGGAAGATCTATCCAGTGGTGAAAGAGGTGTGTTAAAGTCACCCAAAATTATTGTGTTGTGGTCTATTTGACTCTTGAACTTGAGAAGAGTTTGTTGGATGTAGATGCCTCATTGTTTGGGACATATGTATTTATAATTGTCAGGTCTTTTTGGTGTATGGTCCCCTTTAGCAGTATGTAGTGTCCTTCTTTATCCCTTTTGATTAACTTTAGCTTGATTTCTACTTTATCGATATGAGGATGGAAACCCCTGCTTGCTTCTGCAGTCCATAAGAGTGGTATGATTTTTCCCAACCCTTCACTTTCAGTCTGTGGATGTCTTTTCCTATGAGATGAGTCTCTTGGAGACAGAATATTGTTAGTGTTTTGTTTTTTTTTTTTAAATCCAATCTGCTAGTCTATGTCTTTTGACTGGTGAGCTTAGGCCATTAACATTCAGGGTTATTATTGAGACATGATTTGTATTCGCAGCCATTTGTGTTTATTTTGATATTTAACGTGACTTAGTTTCTCCTCTGATTAGGTTTTCCTTTAGCGTAATACCTCCCTCTGCTGATTTTCATCCTTGTTTTTCATTTCCCCTTTGTGAACTTTTTTGCTGAGGATGTTCTGTAATGCAGGTTTCCTAGTTGTAAATTCTTTTAACTTTTATTTATCATGGAAGGTTTTTATTTAATCATCAAATCTAAAGCTTAGTTTTGCTGGATATAAGATTCTTGGTTGGCATTCATTTTCTTTCAGAGCTTGGTACATGCTTTTCCTGGATCTCCTGGCTTTGAGGGTCTGCTGAGATAGAATCGGTCTCCCCCTATATGTGATCTGATTCCTCTCTCTTGTGGCTTTTAAGATTCTATCCGTATTCTGTATGTTAGACATTTTCATTATAATGTGCCTTAGTGTAGATCTGTTGTAATTTTGAACATGTGGTGTCCTGTAAGTCTCTTGTATTTGGTTTTCCAATTTATTCTTCATGCTTGGGAAGATCTCTGATATTATCTCATTGAAGAGATTGTGCATTCCTTTGGTTTGAAACTCTGTGCCTTCCTCTATCCCAATAACTCTCAGATTGGGTCTTTTGATGCTATCCCATAATTTTTAGATGTTCTTTTCATGGTTTCTTTCTATCTTCACTGTGTGATCAACTTTATTTTCCAGATTGAATACTTTGTCTTCATTATCTGATGTTCCTTCTTCCAAGTAATTCAGTCTGTTGATTATGCTTTCTATTGAGATTTTATTTGGTTTACTGTATCCTTCATTTCAAGGATTTCTGACTGTTTTTTTTTTCAGAGTCTCTATCTCTTTCTTGAAGTAATCTTTTGCTACCTGTATTTGCTCTCTTATCTCTTTGTTGGAGTGATCAATTTTTGCCTATATTTGCTCACTTAGGTCATTCTTTAATTCACAGATCATTTTAATTATGAACCTTCTGAACTCCTTCTCTGACATGTCATCAACTTCTCTGACATGTCATCAACTTTAACTAAGTCACGTTAAATATCAAAATAAACACAAATGGATGCGAATACGAATCATGTCTCAATAATAACTCTGAATGTTAATGGCCTAAGCTCACCAGTCGAAAGACATAGACTAGCAGATTGGATTTAAAAAAAACAACAACAACAATATTCTGCCTCTAAGAGACTCATCTCATAGGAAAGACATCCACAGACTGTTATTGTAGTATCCTAATTTGTTTGGGGCACTTTCCTCCCTTGTTTTTCATGTTGTCTATGTGTCTTCCTTTCTTGCAGTTTGGATCCTGGACCTGGATCCCACGCAAGTTGGTAAGGGCAGATCTAGTCTGGACCTGAGCTCCTGTGGTAGGGTCAAAAGGGGTGGTCCCATGCCAGAGGCTGGGCTCTGGCAGGTGTCTGCTGGTGGCAGGATGAATCTCAGGCCTACTGTGAGCCTGGGTCCCCGTGCAGGCTTGTGTAGGCTGATCTGGGCTGGGCCTGCCCTCCCACGGTATTCTCCTGTTATCTTGTTAGATGTATAGCTTGCAAATATTTCCCCCTATTCTGTAGGTTGTCTCTTCACTCTGTTGATTGTTTTCTTCGATGTGCAAAAACTTTTTAGTTTGATGTAATCCTTTTGTTTTTTTCTTTTGTTTCCTGTGCTTTGGAGGTCTTGTCCAAAAAATCCTTGCCCAATCCAATGTCCTAAAGTGTTTCCATGTTTGTTTGTTTGGTTTTTTTCTGGTATTTTCATAGTTTCAGATCTTACACTTAAGTCTTTAATCCAGTTTGGGTTGATGTTTGCATATGATGAGAGATATTCACCTAGCTTCATTCTTCTGCCTATAGGTATCCAATTTTTCCCTATAGCATTTATTGAAAAGATTGTCCTTCAATTTGTGTTTTTAGCAGATTTGTCAAAGACCATTTGGCCATAAATGCATGGATTTACTTCTAGGTTCTCTATTTCATTGGTCTGCTTTTATGCCAAAACTTTGTACTTTTGATTGCTCTTCACTGTATATTTTGAAATCAGGTAGTATAATGCTTCCTGCTTTGTTCTTTTTGCTCAGGATTGCCTTAACTCTTTTGAGTCTTTTGAGGTTTCATGCAAATTTTAGAATTATTCTTTCCAGTTCTGCAAAGAATATCATTGGTATTCTAATAGAGATTGCATTGAATTTCTAGATCATTTTAGGTAGTATAGACATTTTAACAATATCAATTCTTCCAATCCATGAACACAGGTTGACTTTCCATTTTTTGTATCCTCTTCAATTCCTCTTATCAACATTTTAATAATTTACATGGTATAAATCTTTTAACACCTTGGTTAAATTTATTCCTAGGTATTTTACTTATTTTTTGCAGCTACTGTAAATTGGATTGTTTCTTGAATTTTTTTTTAAAGATAATTTGCTATTGGTATTTAGAATCTCTACTAAGTTTTGTACATTGATTTTGTATACTGTAACTTTTGTTCACTATTTCAAATAATTTTTTTTTTTTGGTAGAGTGTTCTTAGATGTGTTTTTCTGTAGATACAATCATGTCATCTGCAAACAGTGACAGTTTGACTACCTCCTTTCCAATTTGGATGCCCTTTATTTCTTTCCTTTGCCTGACTGCTCTGGCTAGTGCTTCTAGTACTACATGGAGAGTGGACATCCTTGTCTCAGGTATACGAAACAGGTAATGAGCTGGAATTGGCCCAGGGGCCTGAGTTTGCTGACATCTGGGTATGTTAGAATTCAAAAACATTCATTTTATATAATAAAATTTGTATGCTCAATTGTCATTCTAAACCTAAAATCTTTATCATTAAAGAAAATTAGAATGAATATTTCTATTTTTAAATGACAAAGGGACAGGAAGTTGGTGACCATGTTCAGGATAGATTTTTGACTTTGAAATGAGTTTCAAAGTCATCAGTGTTGTGATTTAGGAATATGTCGTTTGCTTTACAGATGAGCAGATGGAGTTTGTTCTTAACTGGATTTTCTTCCTTTTTTTTTTTTTTAACAGCTGAGGGTCTTCAAGTTAGCCAAATCCTGGCCAACTTTAAATACACTAATTAAGATAATTGGCCACTCTGTTGGAGCTCTTGGACATCTGACTGTGGTCCTGGCCATCGTGATCTTTATTTTCTCGGTAGTTGGCGTGCAGCTTTTTGGCTCTAAATTCTGTCGCCAAAAGAGTGCACACCTCTGTTCTGCCTCTGAAGACCCATGTTTGCGGCGCTGGCACATGGGAGATTTTTACCACTCCTTCCTGGTGGTATTCCGCATCCTCTGTGGGGAATGGATCGAAAACATGTGGGCATGTATGCAAGAAGTTAACAAACCGATGTGCATTATTGTCTTTGTCTTGATATTGATAATAGGAAAGCTTGTGGTGAGTCTCAGATATTATTTTTCAAAAAGGGGGTGGGGTGGGGAAAGTGGATATCTCTCAAATGTATTAGATCCTTTGACAACACTCTGCTCATGATAATCGTAATTCTAAATAGAATACCAAGTACATCTTTAAAATCTTTCGAATTCGTTTTGAAGAAAGTAGAATAAGCATGAAACAATCATCCTTGACAAAGGGCTCATGTTGACTGATGTTCCAATACCTCCTGTATTCCAGGTGATTATTCTAAGTCAGTCATATTCTCTTTGCCAGTTATTGGCTGAGTTAAGTGTTTGTGACTTCATTAGGTCTGTAAGAAGTAAAGAGATGTCCACAGGGGATATGTGGGAAAGATTTCTTGATATTACAAGTATATATGAGGGGAAAAAAATTGGTCTCTTTGCTTCTTATGGGCCTTTTTCTGACTGTAACTTCTACAGACACTGTAAACTTCATGAAATTATGAGATCATGTAAGAACCTTGAACAAAGGAAGGTAGAACCGAGCGCTGAGGAAGGTGGAGTGAAAAGCGAACAAATCCACCTTCATGTCAGAATTGGTCCCTAATCTATTTTCAAACTTCTTGTTGTGCTTATTATGTAAGCTGGCTTGAGACCATTCTGGGAAGCTGAAAGCACTGATGTTTATGGAGAGGCTAGTTAGGCACACATTGGTAAAGGTATGAAGAGACAGAAGATTCACAAAAATCCTTGAGTGCACATTCTCCAGAATCCCGTTGAAGCTATCATACAAATATGATGATCTACACAAGATCTCTTTATCCCAAGTGCCTGATAAATGATGTTCATAGACAGTAATGATTCAGAAGTTCAGAAGAGCAGGATATCACCAATGGAAATGGGGAGAGAGCATCAAGAAAGGCTTTGAAGAAATGTGGTACCTGAGAAGTCCACTTAAAAGGCAAGAGGACATACAGAGGAGAACTTGAACTGGAAGGTATATAAGTGTAAGCAAAAGCCAAGTAGGTAGATGTCCACTGATCTAAATTTAAAGTGATATATGCTTCAAAGTAATAGTTGCAGATTTGGTCCAGACCTCATCCCTAATACCTCACTGAGGGATGAACAGGGTCTAAAGAGACTGTAAAAAAAATACATCATCTCCCAAATTGTGTGAATAGTAGAGAACGTCACAGAGGTTTGGGATACTGGATCCTTATTCCAGTGGGCAATTCCAGCAAAAATCCAAGCTTGTGGTTCAACTGACCCCTAAGTTCCATGTACCTTCTATTTTGCCACACGATGATTACCTCATCTCCTTTACCCTGGCCAGGGTTTGCACACACTTGTTGCTTATATGTAGATTAGCTGGATTTGGCTCTTTGCATCCCTTAACTTCAAGTTCTCTTTTGTTTTATCATCTCCATGCCTTCCTCAATCATTATTTTATAGATGAACTTTGTTGGGAGAGAGCAGGACCCAGAACTCTCATTTGACTCTTTAAGTCTTGGGGGAAATGTTGTTCTGGAAATTCACTGTACCTTTGCATTTGCTAAAATTTCCATTCTCCTTATCCACCCCACCCCCACCCCCGCCCCAGGTGCTCAACCTCTTCATTGCTTTATTGCTCAATTCCTTCAGCAATGAAGAGAGATATGGAATCTCAGAAGGAGAGGCCAGGAAAACCAAAGTGCAGTTAGCCCTGGATCGGTTCCGCCGTGCTTTTTCTTTTGTGATTCACACGCTTGAACATTTCTGTTGCAAGCAATGCAAGAGGCATAACTTACCAAAGCTAAAAGAGATGACAGCAGACTCTGATGCAGAGAGCAAGGACATTATTCCTCTGGCTGCAGATATGAAAAGGGGGTCAGAAACCCAGGAGGAATTTGGTGTACTAAACTCTGCACAAAAGACTTTCAGCCTTGGGTATGATAGGAGTTGGCTGGCCCCACTTGCAGAGGAAGAGAATGATGTTGAATATTCTGATAAAGATGATGCATCATCCATCACGCACTCGGAGGCTGAAAGACAGGTATGACTGAATTTTTACAAAGCTAGAATTACCACGAAACTCTTGTTGTGGTAACTGTTCTGAGCGCCATGAAGGAATGATAAGAGTATAAAATGTAGTGCTGCTCTTTTGGACCCCTGTGCACATCCTAGGGCAGATTTCAGTCAGAGTCCTCCCCAGGTGGCACGACAGGAGGTGTCAGAAGAGTTCAGAGGGGAGCGATATCAGAATGGGCTGGAACAACAGCAAGAAAGTACCTTTGGTTAAACCTGGTAAGAATGTAGCACTAGTATTGCCCCAAAAGTGAGGGAAGAAAGGGTGGAAAGTGAAGTAAATAATAATGATAAAAGAGACAGTTATGGGACCAAACATGGTCTTCCAAGGGACCAGGCTTGTACAGAAGTAGTGGGAGATGAGGGCTTTTGGTGGGCCTTGGTCTATTCAGCTGCTGTAACAAAGTGTCACAGACTAGGGGGCTTCTGAACAACAGACATTGATTTCTCACAGTTCTGGAGGCTGGGAAATCCAACTTTGAGGGGCCAGGAGATTCAGGTCTGTTGAGGGTCAGTGTCCTGATTCATAAATGGCACCTTCTTACTGTGCCCTCTCATTGGTGACCCATAGGCACCAGGGTGCAAACAAGCTCCTGTGGACCTTTTAAAAATAAGGGCACTAATCCCAGATTCCATAACTTGGCTATTCACAATAGCCAAGATAAACATGGCTATAAAGGTATCTCAACAGTATGATGACTTTGATTCCTTCAAATATATACTGAGGAATGGTGTAGCTGAATCATATGGTAGTTCCACTTTTAGAATTTTTGGGGAACTTCAATAATTATTTCCATAGCATCTCCATTAATTTACATCTCACCAACAAAATAGAAGATTTCCCCCCCTGTATCCTCTTCTAACATTTGTTATTTGTAACCTTGATGAGTACCATTCTGCTTGGGATGAGATGAAATCTCAATGTAGTTTTTTTTTAATATAGCTTTATTTATTTATTTTTATGTGGTGCTGAGAATGGAACCCAGTGCCTCACACATTTGAGGCAACTGCTCTACCACTGAGCTACAGCTTCAGCCCTTAATGTAGTTTTGATTTCATTTCCCTGATGACTAAAGATGTCGAATTTTTTTTCATATAGTAATTAGCCCCTTGTACTACTTCTTTTGAGAAGCATCTGTTCACTTCATTTGCCCATTTATTAATTGGATTATTTTGGAGTTTGGGTTTTGTTTGGATTTGAGTTTTGGTACTGGGGATTGAAGCCAGGGGTGCTTAACCACTGAGCCACATCCTCAGCCCTTTTTATTTTTTATTTGGAGACAGGGTTTTGCTAAGTTACTTAGGGCCTCACTAAGTTGCTGAGGTTGATTTTGTGCTTGTGATCCTCAAGCCACTGAGATTATAGGCATATGCCACTGCACCCAGCATTTTTTTGAGTTATTTATATTTTGTGGTCATTAATCCTCTGTTGGAAGAGTAGCTGGCAAAGATTTTTCTTGCATTTTTGTATGTTGTCTCTTCACTTGTTTCCTTTGTGGTGCTGAAGCTTTTTAATTTGGCGTAATCCCATTTATCAATTCTTGCTATAATTTCCTGAGATATAGGAGTTCTATTTTTTATTAATTTATCTTCTTTTTTTCTCTGTGTTCTTTGGATTGCATATCTTTATTGACATCTTTTAAGTTCACTGGTTCTTTCTTCTACTAATTCAAGTGTAGTTTTGGTCCTTCTAATACATTTTTCATTTTAGTTATTGTGCTTTTCAATTCCAAAATTTGTTTGGTTCCTTTTAAAAATTTAATTCATGTTTATTGATATTATGTATTGAATTATAATTGTCATCATGGCATCTTCTATTTCTTTATGGATGACTTATTTTAATTCTTTAAACATATTTTTAATGGCTGTCTTGCGTTCTTTGTTAACTTTTTGCCCTTTTCTATGCAACTTTTGTTACCTGCCTTTTTCCTATGTATGGGTCACATTTTCCTGGTTTTTGCATTTTTAAAATTTTTGCTTAAAATTGGACATTTTAATTAACATGTTATAGCAACTCTATAACAAAGTTTCCCTTCTCTTCTCTGTGCTTTACTTATTTGATGCCTTGGCTAAACTAGTATAGTGAAGGTCATTCCCTTCCCAAACCACAACTCTACACACACACACACACACACACACACACACACTGCAAAGTTTTTGGCATCACTCCTCAGAGAGAACAACCCAGAATGTACACAGTCAGTCTAAGATGACAATTGTTTTAGCAGGGCTCTCTTTGATGCTCTACTTCTATGATCTCTGTCAAGTCATCAGCCTCATTTGATATCACATCTGGATTTTAAGCTCAACTGATTTTTGCATAATTACTCTATTATCTTTAATGATGCCATCCGGCATGCATTGCTCAACATTGTAATCCACTTAAATGCAAGAAGAGATAGCATTTAAGGATACTCTTTTGAATTTTATTTTACCCCCAAAGATTCTTCTTGGATGTTTTCTCCACAGTTCTCTGTGGTTAATATGATGACCTAATTTATTGCCTTTAATCAAGAAAAGCTACTAGCCTCTTCATATTTGCTTAGTACAGAATCTCCATTTCTCTATTGTTTTCAAGAATGCCCATAGGCCTGAACTTTCTCTCAAATAAAAGTCATTTTTTGTTTTGTTTTGTTTGTTTGTTTTTTATTGGTGGATTGCTCTGGAGTTCTTTTTTCTTATGGATCCCCTCACACCTTAGGAAAAATCTTGGAGTCACTATTCTAAGTACTTAACAGGGGCAATAGCTTTTCTTCTGGTCAGTTTTCTTTTTTCAGTAGACCTCCAAAGCCTCTGCTGGCCAGGCAAGATGAAGTGAGAATGATCAGGGTCCCAGTATTCTCAGGCTGCTCCTTCAACAGTCAAGTCTCTGTCCTGTGTGTGGGGGGGCACTGAACGGAAAAAGGGAGCTCACTTTTTGGCCACACTCACCAGGAATTTAGTAAACTCTTCAACTGAAAGAGGAGATGAGAAGTACTGGTGACCTTAACTCCTGATTAGGTATTGTATCCCTTGATTAGGAGCTGAGGGTCAAGGAACCTTATAATCTTGGCTATACCTGCCTCACTTGGGTTGGGAGTCTGGAAGGAGAAAGTACCTCTTGGCTCCAATGCTGTAGACTTCTGCTGTCCTTACTGAATTTTAGTATGTTTTCTTAAATGAGTGTTTTGTCTTGTGGTGTATGCTCTCAGGACAATTTCCAGAGACTTCAAAAATTCTGAAGTTTTCACCATTTACAATTATTCCCTGGAGAAGAGGTTCACAGAGATCCTCATGTGTCATCAAGGGTGTGAAACTCTATGTATTTTTTTTTCTTTTTCTTTCTTTCTTCCCCCGCTCCCCGGAGCAGGGGGCGATACGGGGGATTGAATTCAGGGACATTCAACCATTGAGCTACATCCCAGCCCTATTTTGTATTTTATTTAGAGACAGGGTCTCACTGAGTTGCTTAATGCCCCACTGTTGCTGAGGCTGGCTTTGAACTCTGGATCCTCCTGCCTCAGCCTCCCGAGCTACTGGTATTACAGGTGTGTGCCATGGTACCTGGCTGTATGTTTTTTTATTAAAAATTAAATGCTAAACTTACTAATTTTAATGGTTCTCTTAATTTATTACATTGCTTTCATATTTTCTCAAGTACATTCGCCTCAGTTTTTATTTTGGGGGAAGGCTATTGATTTTGTTATATATTTTGGAACATTAGTTTGAAAGTTCATGTTTATTGAAAGAATCTGTCACTCTCTCTTACAGCTGAAGTTCTATGATTGTCTCCCATCCATTTCAGAACCATCTCTCTTATTACCAACCTGGGATTTTTTTCTAATAGTGACAGTAAGCATATTGCAGATCTGGTCACTGAACCAGGGGGTACTTTTGACCAGGTCTTATTTCTTAGGTTGTACTTCCTTTTTTCTCTTAGGTGAACAGCTTTCTATTATTGTAACTAGGAGCATTTGACACAGGTTTTTATTGTTGTTGTTGTTATTGTTTTTTCGCCTTCTTCCTTAATTGCAAGAACTTCATCCCAATAGTTTCACCCCACAGTTTTGACCTCAGATAGAGCTCTGTTTCCTTTTCTTACATGAAGCATTTTTAGGTACCAGTACCTGTTGCTACGACTTTATATTTCTGTTTAGTGTCTGCTCTGTAAGTGTGTTTACTCCTTTTTTTGTGTGTAGGTATGTATGTATGTATATTTGAGGACATGCATACATGTGTATACATATTTATATGTGTTATCACAAATGATCAAAGGGTAGATATAGTCTTAAATCATGGTCATATTTGCAGAAACCCTTCAATAGGATGAAATTCTTGCCTAAGCTGTGACTTCATGCATCCTTTTCAGATATACTCCCAGATTATTGAACCAAATTTATTTATATGTAGTTCTGTATTGCTGCAGTTTTCTTTATGCATTTTGCTTCCTGTTTCGCTATGGAAACCCTCTCTGCCCCCAGAAGATAAAAAAATATTATTTTCTAAATTTTTCTTCTCAGTAGTTTTGCTCATCTCTTTTTATATCAGACTATCACATAATTATAGATTTTATTTTTACTATATAATGGCAATGAATATCTGTACCATTTATAATAACTTATTATTATAAATTAAATAATTTATTAGTTAGCTATTAAATTTAAAGGACACATTTAAAAATATATTAAATCCCCATTTACATTTCACCTCTGAATTTTTTGGTGGGTATTTTGATTATGTAACTATTTTGATTAATGTAACTTTGAAGTTAGGTTTCAATTTTCTGTTTTATCTAGTAGGTTTCCCAGAATTATTTCACATTGAGTTCTTCCAGGGGCAGTTCTTTAAAAGAGAGTAATGTCACAGACTATTCTCATGACACTCAAAAAGCTAAGTAGAATTCAAACTTTTTTTTTTAATCTCAATCAAAATGTCCAGAAAAAAATATTAATTTTACTCTGGGCTCCTCTGTGACAGGCCTATGACCTTCACCAGGAGAAGCCTGCCATCCCAGCAGATCAAAGTGTGGAAATTGAAGTGTTTCCTGAGGAAGAGGTTTATTTGGCCGTGCAAAATCCCAGAAAGGTAATTTTCTTTGGGAATTGTCAGAAGGAACATGTGACTCATCCACACACCTCCACAAGAGCCATTATGGAAAAATATCTAATGCAGAAAGAATCGCCAGAATTGAGTTTTAAGTAGAACATTTTTCAACTTTGCTACTATGACATTTAGGGCAGGACAATTCTTTATTATGAGATTTTTCTGTAAACTGTAGGATGTTTAGCAGGATCCTTGACTTCTATTCACTAGATGCCCCAGTAACATCCCCCACCTCTGTTTGGATGATTAAAAATGTCTGCAGACATTGTCAAAATGTCTCTTACAGGGCAACATGAACAAGAACCACTGGTCTGGGTCTACTGTTTCACAAATTGAGACAGATTAAAGTTAGAGTCTCAGCAGAATGGTCTTCTCATTACCTAGTTCCTAACTGGGATTAGGCAACCTTCAGGGAAGACATTTTCCTCCCTACAAAAAGACTCTTCCCGAGTCATCATATGCCTTGCTGTTCCTCAGCCATGGAGAGTAGTTAGTGAATTCTCTCCTGAAGTCAGGCTGATCAGAGCACTTAGGAAAGGACCTAACTCGACACCTTTCAGATCTAAAAGCCCTCACCTCATTGGTTTCTTCCCTAGCAAATCAATAATGAAGAATTAGATACTACCCTGGGGAAACAGGGTCTTGATAAATGACTCCCCCTTTCCTTTTTCTGATGCACAGAAGTCTGATGCCATCAGTATCCCATCAGAATGTAGCACTATAGATCTGCAGGAAGCCTTTGGATATTTGTATAGAATTGTTCCCCAACAAAAGCAACCAGAGAGATGTTTACCTAAAGGTAAGTGGCCATATTTTTCATACAGTTCAAAAAGTCTTTGAATGGTATTTCTGATCTTTGTAGCTCTGTGGTTTTGGTAGTTGTCTTCCTTTTTCGTAGGGACAAAAGGAAAGACAAGGCATCCAGAGATTCTTGAGGCTATTATGGGGTCCACGCAGAGGGGATTTTAGGAAATTCTTGATTTATTTGGGCTCCACTCACACAGCCCAACAAGAAGGACAAACACTCTAGAAAACTTCCCTAGAATGTCCACTGGTCAACACGTCTACCACATTATATAGTCCCTGGACATCCATTATCAGAATATATTTGAGGTTGAAAACCAAGAGAAGAACTTGGCTATTTTGGTTATTACCTTCATCTCAGGATCCAGACTTCCTAAACTCAAATTCTAGCCCCTCCCCTTACTAGCCACATGACTTGTTCAATGTAGTTAACCTGTCTATGCCTCATTCATAAAATGGAGATAACAATGGCACCGACTGCCAAGGATTGTTGTATGAAATGAGTCGATGTAATTATATATTTGTATACCTAGTACGAGAAACAGAATATGGCCCAGATAATGGATCTGACAAGTATGGATCAATCAATAAACAAGTGATAACAAATTGATAAATGAATCTAAAAATTACAAATTTCTCCATCCATTTGGGATTAAACTGGGTCTCTAGAAGGAACACCAAGAAGGGGTTTCTGATTTCTCTTCTGCATTGTTTGACAGCCCCCAAACTTCACAGGGGCCAGGCTGGGGATTTTCAAGAGACTATAGTTCTCTCAATTTTCATTTGGCCTGGTCATTGAAGAAGGTGCCGGATGGCAACAGTGGAGATGGAGAAGAAAGGCAGATGCTAGAAGGACAGAGGAGTGGGATAAAAGATGGGAAGAAATAAGTCTTTTAGGAAAATTAACTTACTGATGTTCTGAAAGATAGGGGGAGGAAATGGGCAGAGTAGGGAGACCTCATAGTGGCTTGGGAAGATGATGAGGAAAGGAGTGGAATGTTGGAGTCACCATGAAGTTAGGATCATCAGAACTGGGAGAAGAAGAAGGAGAGACTAGGAGAGAAGCACAGTGTGATCCATGCTAAAGGTTTATGTGTGTTGGGACAAATGTTCAGCTCTTTGTAGACATCTTGATAATTGATCCAGTTCTTTCACGTATGGCTTGGGTGGGTTCACAAAGCCTTTGGCTATCCTTACCTCATTTCTTTGGACACAATCTGTACATGAGTGCCAAATATATTATTTCATAATAAACAACCCACAAAGCCTCAGAAGCACACAATAATAAACATGTACCTGCACGATTCGGTTGATCTAGACTGGGTATCTGTGCAATGTCTTATGGCTTTCCATGTGAATCGTGATGTTGTCTGGAAATCCGCTAATCTAGCTTTAGCTCAACTGGGTCATGGCTCTCTACTCCACACGTCTATCATCCTCCTTCCAGAACCAATGGGTTAGCCTGAACATGCCTTCCTTATGGTGCAAGAGGGAAAGTGGAAACATACCCAGCCCAGGCTCAGCACTGGCACACCATGAAGTGCACTCCATGCTCTTGGCCATGGCTGAGTCCACTCAGGGGATTGGAAAGAGACTCTGTCTGCCTTGTCAGGCCACAAGGCAAGAGATGCCAATAGAGGGAGGAGTGACTATTCGGAGCTGTTAATGCAATTTACTAGAGCTCCTAATGCTAGTGCTTCTTCTGATCCCTTTCAGGTCTGCATTGCTTCTTTCCCTGCTGTAGGAAGGACAGGAGAAGGTCTCCCTGGGTCATTTGGTGGAACCTGCGGAAAACCTGCTACCAAATAGTGAAACACAGCTGGTTTGAGAGCTTTATTATCTTTGTGATTCTGCTGAGCAGTGGGACGCTGGTAAATTATCATGGTCTCATGTTGACATTGCATTTCAGGGCAGCTGGGAGAGCTGCACTGACGGGACCCTTTCTGAGTCTGTAAATGTGGGTAGACCAGGCAGAGAGGGGATCTTCACTGATGTACTTTTTAGAGTTTATCCTACGCCTGGGAAATCCTCAAGCCAAAAATGCTTTTATCTGTGGGGAAAAAATGAACCCAAACCAGCACCTTAACATGAGTCCAGACCTGTCTATTTACTCCCAACTACCACCACCTTTTTTGGAGAATTTCTACTTCTGTTGTATCTACACATTTCCTACTCCAGATAGCAATTCTCCCATCCTCTCTTTTCCTGAGGATCATAGTTCTGCTTTCTAAAAGGAGGGGACCAGGAGACACTGCTTTATGTTTATGATCCTTCTAGACCAAGCATGGTAAGAATCCCTGTGTGGCTTGAAATAACACTAACTCCACTTGCCTCCAAAGACATAGAGTCATCATTTCCTTTTCCTCCTCTCTTCACACCTTCTGGTCCTTTTGTACCCTCTCCAGCTCCTCCCTGGGAATCTCTCTTATCACTTACCCCCCACCTCCTTCTTCCTCTCTCATTCCTTCCCCTTCTATCTTGTGTCTTCCCTTTAAATGGCCACCATAGGGAACTTTTACAATTTGCCAGACTAAGTGAACAAAGTTCTGGGTCCCCCTTCTTGATTTAGAGTGACAGATCATTTCACATTATCTAGCAATTAGAAAAGAAAAGGAAATATCTTGTTCCCGCATCCCATGCCTTCTAGCTAATGCTTTATATCCATGCGATCTCTACGTGAAAAGAAATGAGAATATACCAAAGCTCATCAGGGACTGTGACCAACATATATCCCCATTTAACTACTTACTGCAATGTAAATTCATTTTAGACAAAAACAAACAAACAAAAACACCCAAATGTTTCTAGAACCACCCATTGAACTCCCTTGATTGATTTATATTGCTCGTCCATGGTCTAGGATTATCTGTAGTCTCTTGGTGATTACATGTCCATTGGCGATCTACACTTATTCCAATGTTGGGGTTTCTTTGGTTTTATTCTACAAATAGTACTTGGGATATTCAGTGGCAGCTGGGAGAGCTGCACTGATGGGACCCTTCCTGAGTCTGTAAATGTGGGTAGACTAGGCAGAGGGAAATCCTCAAGCCAAAAATGCTTGTCAGAAGGCCCTAGAGACACACTTATATAGGCATTGTGGAGAGACATTGTATAATCAGAGACCTAGCAGAGATACACAATCCCAGTTCTCATCTGCCTTCAGGAGGCAATGCAGGCATCTGGGCAGAGCAATACTGAATATACAAAGCAGAGAGTGCCAGGAGATAGACCCAGCCCATTTCATTGTAATATTTGTAAAAAAAAATTGAAATATGAAGAACTTAATCTATTGCCAATGCATGTGGTGTATGAGCCAGCAGCATCAGCATCACCTGGAAGCTTAGAAATGCTGTCTTGGCCCTCTTTTAACCTCCTGAATCAGAACTTACCTTGTAAGGAGTTCTCCAGGTGATCTGGGCTTGTTAAAATCTGAAAAGTTCTGGTTTGGGCATCTATAAAATAATGAGAGCCTCCTGGATCATGAAATGGGCTAGTTATAACTGAGCTGTGCTAATTCAGACTTGCTTACCAGTTTGATGCTAAGCTTCCAAAATGAGAGAGAAAATGAACCTATAACACTAATCAGATTTGTCTGTCCTCAAGAGGCAAGCAGACAAATCCCTGACCTTCAGAAGCTTGGAGAGCAGTAAGGAAGATAGATGGCTCCATTATAGGCCAGATCATAAGCAGTGGGTGAAGTGGGACAGGTAGGGATTGGTACCTACCCCAGGCTTGTAAGAATAGGACAGTTTCCTGTAGGAAATGACAGCTAAGCTCAGATCTCAAGGCTGAGATGGGGTTGGCAGGGCAAGGAAGAGATGGAAGGTTTCTCTAGTCAAAAACCCGTTTGGTAGCAGGAAGAGAGGCTGTTTTACCCTTTCGCATTCTTTTTTTCCCCGGTGCTATAGGCTTGCCTTCATGCCCAATAGCAGGATTAAGTTCTCACCTGCCTGAGCATTTTTCTATATCTTGGGCAGGTTTAATGCTAGGCTCCCTTCTCTCCTTTCTTTCATTCTCACTATGTGTAGGCCAAAAGGACAGGTGATATCCTAATTATATCAGAATCACACACATACTTCAGGTGAGGGAAATGTTTGGATGTAGCATGAAAACAGGGTCTCTCTGAAAACCAATATATCTCGTTTTCATGATCACACTTAGTGAATGTTTAATATTTGAAGTGATTTATATTGGGAATTCAAGTCCAGAGCTGCTCAAATTTAGTGTGTCATGGCACATATAGAAAATGGTATAATTTGCAGGGAAAATTGGGTAAATGGATAAGGCTGCTTGTTGGAGGAAATGACAGACTTCAGACCTGGGTCTCAAGTGTGGGCTTAGAGCATTTGGACTCAATGCCATCAGCAATGCAGAGACACTGCATAAAGCCACTGAGAGGACTAGGAAGATGAAAGAGATGGTCTGTGCCATCGGGTGTTTCTGGAAAAGTTGAAAAGGTACACTTGGCAAGCCCTGAAAAGATTAGGAAGTCCAGGAAATGGTGTGGTGATCCACTAGGAAGATGTTTTCTATTCTGGGGACTAGTGAAGAGAGACCATGGGACCCAGAGGGCAACAGAAGTATAGAAATGGCATTTTCCATTTTCATGTACTCAGGGATTTGATTCCATTGGGGAAAAAAAATCAACCTTATTTTCTTTTGGGCAAAACTGCATCACCAGGAGATGTGCTCGCTTTTATTCACAATAGCAAGAAAAACAAAAAGTAAGCAAGGAGTGTTTTGCAAATATTCAGCTTGGCCCATGGCTGGATGTGCTTTATTATTTCAGGTATTTGAAGATGTTCACCTTGACAAGCGGCCACACGTCCAAGAAATACTAAATTATACTGACCATGTTTTCACATATATTTTCATCTTTGAGATGGGTCTGAAATGGGTGGCCTTTGGATTTGGGAAGTATTTCACTAGTGCCTGGTGCTGGCTCGATTTCATCATTGTGATTGTAAGTTTCCTATGTCTGTGACCGATGCAGGTGGAGGTGGGTTGGGGAAGGGGACTATTGAGGATTTGGTTTTCCTGTGTGCCTCTCCAAATTATTTTCTTGTTATCATTGCCTCCTCATAGTACTTGTAACTCAATGTTTTTTGTCCAGTGTAATTTCAGCCTTCCTTGTGCCCCACCTCTCATCCATGATACTTTCTATGCTCACCTTCCCAACCTTTAATGCCACTGGCTATTTCTTTATTTTTTAAAAAATTTGTTACATATGACAGCAGAATGAATTACAATTAATATTACAGCACAATTTTTTCATATACAGCACAATTTTTCATATCTCTGGTTGTACACAAAGCAGAGTTACACCATTCGTGTCTTTATACATGTACTTAGGGTAATGATGTCCATCTCATTCCACTGTATTTCCTACCCCCATGGCCCCTCCCTCCACCTCCCTCCCCTTTATCTCTTTGCCCAATCTAGAGTCCATCTAATCCTCCCATCCCCCCCTCTTATGAATCAGCATCCTTATATCAGAGAAAACATTCAGCATTTGGTTTTGGGGATTGACAAACTTCAGTTAGCATTATGTTCTCCAACTCCAACCATTTACCTATAAATGCCATGATTTGATTCTCTTTTAATGCTGAGTAATATGCTATTGTGTATAGCATGTAGATAAAAGATAAAACTATTGGAAGACATCCCACTGAAGAATGCAGTAGATTGGGAAACACTGGGTATTCTCATGGGTCTCATCAATGTTTCCAAATTTGATGGAACAGAGATAGGGGTAAGGTTCCAGGTGAAAGGTGACGAGTGTCCCTGTTGAAACACCTCTTCCCAGCAAGGAGGACAGTAATTTGGTAAAGCCAGATGAACAGCTAAGCTCTACCATCCTTCTCCCTCTGACTAGGGGCAAAGTAGGGGTACTTGGAGAGGTGCCTAATACTCCTTCAATAAGCAATGCTATTTCAAGCAAGAAGTCCATTAAAAAAAATTACACATAGAAACATTTGAAGTTGATGACAAATTTTAAAATCTTATCATTCTGTCATATTCACTAATTTCTCTTAATTTGAAAAGTTGCTACTACTACAGTGTAGTTGGCAGGATGTGTGCAGAATGTTTTGGGTTAATAGCAAACTTTGACATTGGCTTAGTCAGGGGCATCGTAACTCCCTGGCCAGCTGAGCAACTCCTTATTCTAGATGAACCTCGGAAGACTTTTCATGACTAATAAGAATGACTGAAGATCTGCAAGGAGTCACCCTCAGCTTAAGTTCAGCAGATTGCTAAGTTTTCATTTTGTGTTCTTACCAGAACTTTCCAACCCTCAGTCCTATGCCATAAGGGGAAAGTATTGGGGAGAGAAAAATGCTTTTTATTTCACAAAAAGGGGCTATTTGAGAAAGAAAAAAAATTAGCAAACAAATTAGTTTTTCTTTATAACTTTTTAATTTTGATCTTAAACTTACTGAAAAGGTGCAAGAAATAGTATTAAGAACTCCTCCTACTCTTTCCCCAGCTTGACAAGTTAGCAATATTGTTGCTCCTCTGTTTGCTACTCTCTTTCATTCTCTCTCTCCATTTTTTCTCTAAAATGCTTAAGATTGAGTTGCAAGCATCTTGTCTCTTTACCTCGCAACCTGTCAACATGTGTTTCCTAACGAGGACATTGTCTGGCATAATCACAATACAATGCTCAAAGTTAGAAAATTCAGCATTGACCCCTAACTAAAACCCACGTCTGTTTTCCAGTTTTGTCAGTTGTCAAAACAAGATTCTTTATGATGAGTTCTTTCTACCCGTCCACCCTCTACCCCTGCCCCAATTCCATACTATGATATCATTGTCACGTCTCTTTGGTTTCCTATGATTCACAACAATTTCTCAACTTTTTTTTCATCTTTCATTGGACAAACAATGTAAATGCATTATTCCAGCTTTTGTGGACTGTAGCTTTGCCAGACAAGGAGAAAAATGGACTCTCCATCTGCACCTTCCCTTCCAGAACAGTCTGACAATAACAATTGTGCTCAGCCTCTCAGAAAGGGGGCTCTTTTTTAAAAAAATATATTTTTAAATTTGTTCTAATTAGTTATACATGACAGCAGACCGCGTTTTGACACAGCATACATAGATGGAGTATGACTTCTCATTCATCTGGTTGTACATGATGTAGAGTTACACAGGTCATGTCATCATATATGCACATAAGATAATAATGTCCAATTCATTCTACTATCATTCCAATCCCCATTTCCCCTCCCTCCCTTCACTCCCCTCTGTCTAATTCAAAGTACCTCTCTTCTCCCTCTATTGTGAATTAGGATCTGCGTATCAGAGAAAACATTCAGCCTTTGATTCTTTGTGATTGATTTAAGACAGGGGCTTTTGAGCCTGTGCTGAACCCTGGGCAAGAGTTAGGAGCACTCACAAGTCAGGTTCTCCTCCCACCAGGTCTCCGTGGTCAGTCTCTTCACCGTAAATACGTGGAAGCCCCTTCGGACTCTGCGAGCACTGAGACCTCTTCGAGCGCTGTCTCAGTTTGAAGGAATGAAGGTACGTTCTCCAGGTGGATGGGTGGAAATTTAGCTAACAGAGATATGGAGAGAAGCCCACAACTCTTTTGCAACTTGGGCTTTTCTTTGTGTTGCTAAGATTTTCTTGGGATTCTTCCCACCCAGTCCAGTGCTTACAGTCTAAAAGGTGGAGAAAAGTCTGGGATACTCCCAAGAGGTCTTCTGTGACAGTTGAGGTGGCTTCCCTTCAGGATCCTAGGGCAGCTGTCTTCTAAGTTTCTAAGCTCATTCTCAAATTCTTCTCAGTGGAAACAGGAGCCAGGAGTAGAGCCTGACATACAGAGCTTCAAAAGAACCAGCCACGCCCATCAGGCCCATCCTGAGGTGATCAAGTGATGGGTGAGGCCTACACATTTGTTTATATTCTTCTTTTGTTTTATTTTCCTTAAGGTGGTGGTCAATGCTCTCATAGGGGCCATTCCTGCCATTCTCAACGTTTTGCTTGTTTGCCTGATTTTCTGGCTCATATTTTGTATCCTGGGAGTAAACTTCTTTTCCGGACATTTTGGAAGATGTATTCGTGGAAAAGATAAAAGCAAATATCTTCCTAATGTTGAAAACCGAAGTCAGTGTAATGAGTGTAATGAGACTTGGGTCAACCTGGAAGTCAACTTTGACAATGTGGGGATCGCTTACCTTGCTCTGTTGCAAGTGGTAAGTGCTGTTGGTGGATTTTGTACCCGGAGAAAACTTGTAAGAACTGTAAATCATTTTTTTTATAAAAACCTAGGGACTCCATTTAAAATGATAGAATCAGCTGTGTCTGTTGATGGCAAGTCTGCAGTTGTATCCATGTTTCTTTGCTTCTGTTGCAGGCAACATATAAAGGCTGGCTGGACATCATGGAAGCAGCTGTTGATTCCAGAGGGGTGAGTTCCTGTTCCCCTATGTTCTAGAATGTCAGGGTCAAATGATGGATAGTCCAAAACTTCCTGCCTTAGACTTTCCACAGCCAGAGAGCTCTCTGCCTTGTTTTCCTTGGGACCAAATTACAAAATACCAGTCTGATAAAACGGTATTCTAATCATGTCCAATTTGTATCTGAAATCCCAGTATTCTCTAAAGTCCAGTCTTCCTTCTCCATGGTGAATAAGGGAAGACTGTTCATGTGAAGATGGAGCCAGAAGCAATATAATCATGGGATGTCTTGATTTTTCTCTAATCTCTTCAACAAATGAATGGAGAAGAAGAAACCAAATGTCAAAGACAACCTGACCGTCTTAGACTGTGAGAAAACTTTAAGATTGGGCTACATCTGAGTAAGAGAGGGCCTCCCAAGACTCCAGGTTCCCTGCAGACTAGAGGGGATTCTGGTGATTGCCGATTGTTGGATTCCAGTTAAAAAAAAAATAGTAGCCCAAAGCCACAGAGTAAGCAAATGGTTGAATCGAGAATGAAATCAATGGGGGAGGTGTGTATTTTTTTTTTCTTATCAGGCACATGTGTGTGCGTTGTTCTGTTTGGGGGTCTGCAGGGTGGATGCCTGATACATGGTAAGTGTTTAAATGTGTAAGAGGGCAGTGGCAGTGGAGATGGTATGAGTACTATAACAGACACGTTAAGGAATGCAAATTTGTCTTTATGGTCATTCTAGTTCTCATTATAAATTCACAGACTGTCATTATGAGTTCATAGATAGATAATGCATAGCAACAAATCTGAATTTGCTTTATTCTGAGTATGTTAATAAAATCCAGTTTCTGGAAAGGAAAAGCTAGTAGTAGAAACTTAAGTGTTTATGATAATTATACAATTATATTATACATATATACAATTTATACTATAGCATTTATGTTATATAAATATATATTATATATACAATATAATATTATAGTTATACTATGTAACAAAGGGCACATTCTAAAATATTGATGTATTCATTTCTTTTTTCCTTTCGAATACATGAACTTAACCTTAGTTTGTGTTGGGCATTCATTTGCCTTGAGGTGGAAGTGTGGGGTATGAAGGAAAGCTTCTGCAGATGTATGGCAGAAGAGGTGTGTGACTTACCAGGATGAATGCTGGAGGTGGGGTGGAAATGTGTGGAAGAGTGCCTATTGTGGTTCTGGTCTTAGTATGCACTACCTGTTGTATACTGACTGCTGCATTTTGACCCTTGTCTGCAAAATCACAAGGCATCCTACTGGTATTAAATATTGCAGTTTCAACTGGTAAATACCTGGGCCATTTTCCCCTATCAATTCTTCATGGTCTCACACAGACTCTCAGATTAAATAGTAATGACATGGAAAACAGTATTGAGGTTCCTCCAAAAAATAGAAATAAAACTTATATATGACTCCTTCTCATGGTTCCTGGCCTAAAAAACTACTCCTATCCTTTGCTACAAGGTCTACCATGGCAGGTCCATGACTATCAACTCCATATCTAAGCCACATGGGAACTGAGGGATTCAAGAAACCTCTCTCTACCTGATTATGCTTCCCCAGGCCCTTAGGTCAGCCTGCCTACCCAATATATCCCAGGTTTTCAAGAAGTAGTTTCCTCTCAGAAAAATACAGATTAAAGCAAGAACATCTTCTTTGCCTTCCACATTCCACTCAATTTATTGGACCCCATCTTCCTTCTCCAGACCAAAGAGAAAGAATCAGGACATACATCTTGAAGCTCTGATTATGTTTCTTTTTTTCCCCCCTCAATTTCCTCCTCTTGTCTAAACCATCCTCACATAAAACTTGTCTACTCTAAGACCTTGATATGGCCAAAGAGGGACATGAAGGAATGTAGATATTCTTATTTCTCAAGGCAATAACAACTTGCAAGCCTACTAGCCCATTGCATTATCTTATTTTAAATGTCAGATGCTGAACCTTAATTCTTTCTTCCCATTATATTATTTCTGTCCTAATGCCTGTTCTTTGTTGAAATAAATGAAAGCCTCAAGCCAACTGGGACAAAGGCCAAGTCTTTAAGGCATAAGAGAAAGGTATTTTTAATAACTGTCTCCATTACCTGAGGCTATATGAGGGGTGTTGAATAACAAATATAAATATACTTCAATGGCAATGGAGCTCTCAACAGTGCTAGCTATATCTTTGAATATGATCAGGAAGAAGAAAGAGAAATCTCATCATCCATCTAACATGCATGCATGAATCCAATGGCAACATGTGCAAACTATTCACCCAACAAGGGATCAATATCCAAAACATGTAAGGAACTAATCCAACTTAAAATGGCCAAATGACTTGAATAGACATTTCTCAAAAGAGGATATACAAATAGCCAACAAGTATATGGAAAAAATGCTCAACATTACCAATCATCAGAGGAATGCAGATCAAAAATCACAATGAGGTATCATCTCAATCCAGTTAGAGTAGCTATTGTCAAGACCAAAAACTTAACAAATGCTGCTAAGGATGCAAAGAAAGGAGAGCCTTCTTACAACAATGGTGGGGATGTAAAATAGTAATGACATGGAAAACAGTATTGAGGTTCCTCAAAAAAATAGAAATAAAACTTACATATGACTCAGCGACCTCACTAGTGGGTATATTTTCAAAGGGATTGAAATGAGCATGTTAAAGAGGCAGGTTCACTCCTGTTTATTGTAGCACTATTCAAAATAGCTAAGATATGGAACCAACCTAGGTGTCCACCAATAGATGAATGGATTGAGAAGGCATGGTATGTATACACAATGGAATATTACCCACCACATGAGTGAATAAAATCGTGTCACTTGCAATATTGATGAAACTGGCGGTGTTATCTTAAATGAAATGGCAGGCACCAAAAGCCAAGTATTGCATATTCTCACTTACATCTGGAAGCTAAAATGTTGATCTGACAGAAGTAGAGAGTAAATAATAGTTACCAGATTCTGAGAAGGCCCATACGGCTGGAGGAGAGAGGGTGATAAATGGCTACAGGAATACAGTTATATAGGAAGAATAACTCATGTTCTATAGCCTGGTTGCATGACTGAGGTTGACAGCAAATAATTGAATATTTTAAAATAGCCAGAAGAGAGGATTTTGAATGTTCTCAACACAAAGAAATGATAAATGTCTGAGGTTATAGATATGTCAATTACCCTGATCAGATCATTGCATATTATATATGTGTATTGAAATTATTATGTCAATTTAAAATATGTATTTCTATAATATTAAATATTTCTTTATATATAATATATATATTATATATATATATATATATATATATATATATATATATAATTTTTTAAAGTAATGTGAGACACTTGGATGAAAAGAATCTCAGATGCTTTTGGCTACTTCTTGAACTGGAAGAGCTGTAGCCAATTTTTGTCCCTTCTAGAGCTTGATTGTTCATTCATTCATTTATGTATTCATTCCATGTGTATGAGAACCTACATATTACGAGGTGTGCTAGGCACTAGGAATTCAGGAGTGAAGGAATGGAACCACACACAGAACCATGAGAAAGGCAGTGGTCTCTGTATGACAGATGCAGTAGCTCAATAAAGTTGGGCAGTTTAGTCATTTCTGCCTACAGTGTATGTGCCCCTTCTCTGGTGGTCTTTCCTCCAGTTTGGTTCCCTCTAAATACAAATATATATATAGACACTCAGGGAGAATTTCTTTTTAAAAAAATAACTTAAAAAGTATATTTTTTATTTCAATAAATCTAAGTAGGTTAAATTCCCACATAAAAGAATTCTTGGTTGGTTCATAAAGTAAATGTAAACACATAAAAAAACATAATTCAGAGAAGTTAAATGTAAACAAATTGATAAATATACACTAGGCAAATGTAAACCAAAAGAAAATTTGTGATCTTCATATAAAATGATATTTAGATACGTATCTTAGAATTGTATCAGCATACAAAGCACAATGAGAATGTATAGACCACACGGCAGAAGTTCATTTCAAGCCAAAATATAGGAGATAAAAATAAAAAGAAATTCAACTACTGGTGGAAAACTTGAAATGTATTGTCAATGTTAAAAAATGAGGAAGAAGAGCTGGAGTTGTGGCTCAGTAGTGGAGTGCTTGCCTAGCATGTGTGAGGCACAGGGCTCAATCCTTAGCACCACATAGAAGTAAATAAAGGTCCATTAACAACTAAAAAAAATATTTTTTAAAAAAGAGGAATATCTTTGAATTTCTTTCTTTCTTTTTTTCTATGGTGCTGGGGACTGAACCCAGGGCCTTGTGCATGCAAGGAAAGAACTCTACCAACTGAGCTAAATCCCCAGCCCAAAATCTTTTGACTTTTGAATTCATTCAAGTCTCTGCTGAAGACTGAAGCTTTAATTCATTTCTTCATATCCAGGTTCTATTCTCTTCTGTCTTACACTGGTGCCCTGAGAAGCTGAACTCTTTTTTAAAAATATATATATATATATATATTTTGTATTAGTTCATTTTGACATAATTATATAAGCATGGAATATAATTTGCAATGCCCAGGAGGCTTTCAAAAGACAAATGGGATCATTCCACACCTCTCTCACAATCCTCTAATGATTCTCCGTTGCTCAGAAGAAAAGCCTGAGCCTCCCCCACCCTGTATTCCTACCATGTGCACCATTCAAGCTAAGCAAGGGAAAGCAAAGTACCAGGGCCATCGGGAGGAGGTTAAGTGTGTGATGTTGCTGGTAAAAAGAAAAAAAAAATGCTTTGGTCTTGTAAGTAAAACAGCTAGGATGGTTTAATTTTTCTTAAATAATTGTTTTTTCTCTCATTAAAAAAAATCCCTAACAGGAAGAAAAACAGCCAGCATTTGAGGCAAAACCACTCATGTACCTTTACTTTGTTGTTTTTATCATCTTTGGGTCATTCTTCACTCTGAATCTCTTTATTGGTGTTATTATTGACAACTTCAACCAACAGCAGAAAAAGATAAGTATGCGGGTTATCCTGGCTTGGTAAATTCCATCTCAGTTCTGCCAACAGCTTTTCTTTTTAATTTTTAAAAATTCATTCTAATTAGTTATACATGACAGCAGAATGCATTTCGTTGTACACAAATGGAGCACAACTTTTCATTTCTCTGGTTGTACACAATGTAGAGTCGCACCGTTTGTGCAATCATACATGCACTTAGCGTAATGACGTCCTACCTAGATGCCCTTCAATAGAAGAATGGATAAAGAAACTGTGGTGTATATACACAATGGAATATTACTCAGCATTAAAAAACAATAAAATAATGGCATCTGCCAAGGGCTTTAATGGGACATGATTCTGATGTAGATGGTTGTGCAGAGAAGCCTCTATTATCTGCTTAAGAACAAAAAGCTTGTGCCTGAGAAGATCCTCTAGAATAAGACCAAAAGGGAATGGAAACATCTGGGTGTTATTAAGTCATTATTTTTATGTTTGTCTTATCTTTCAATGGACATTGTTGTTATTGAGATTAAATCTGATAATAATTGAATCTGAATAGAATAGCAATCACTAGGATTAGTATTTATGACCTAGAGTCATATTTTAATAACATTTCAAGTCTTTTTTTTTAAATCCATGATAAAAAGTATGAACTTTCCTCTTTCAGCAAACTTTTGTCCTGGTTCCCAACATCAGTCTCAGCAGATCTATTGAACCTACTTGGAAAGATCACTGAGGAAGAGGAAGAGCTAGAGAGGTCTTTCCCCATGCAATATAATGAACAGATGTTTATTTTTCTGATTCCAAAATCCACAGGAGCTTCATACTAAAAGTAGTAAATTAAGGAACATAAAAATAAAATATATATCACCTGAGAGCAATCACCTAATGGTAACCACTTGAGATAGTGACTCTTAACATTTTAGTATAATTTTCCCCAGTAATTTTCTAACTAAACATATAATTTCTTTTACTTAGTTGGAATTCCTTATATTTTTAATTTTGTAGTTTATGAGCTCATTAGTTATCATTCCTATGGCATAAAATATTTTTTGCTATAATTTTCAAGGCTGAATTATATTCCATACTATGGATAACAACAATCCTGATCAATGCTCTGTTTTGGGACATTTAGGTCATTATAAACTTCTTGTTCTTTTAAAAGCAATAATAAATATTCCTCTGGGTTTTTCATTATTTTCTCAAGATAAGTTCCAAGAATTAGAATATTTAAGGCTTTAAAGGTATCATCAAATTACCTCCCAGAAATGCTGTGGTAGCTAGCTAGCCTTCTCTTGAAGGATATGAGAATGAGTGGTTACTCACCATTCTGATGGGTATAATTTATAATCTTCTCTAGATTTATGAGGAAAGGGTTATCTCATTGTTTTATACTTGTGTGTTTGATCATTAGTGAGGTTACACATTTGTTACACATTCAAAGAATCTTCTGGTTTATCTTCTATGTTGAAGATGACATATTTTTCTTATACATTTTTAAATAGTAAGTCCACTTTGTGGCTTGCTTCTCAAATTTTTTGTAATGACATTTTGACTTATAGATACTTTAATGGAGTCCAACTGCTAAGTTTGTCCTTCCTGGTTCCCTTTTCTCACATTTATGAACAAAAGGCATTTCTCGATTCTGAAATCAAGTAGCTAAATATTCACCTGTGGTATTACTACTTTTATTTTTTTAAGCCTTTTTAAATTTTTTTTTACTGTTGAAATCTTGTCATTCATCCAAAATGTACCTTGGTACCAACTAGCCTTCTTAGCATCTGCTGGGAAAGTTATTTGCTATTGTGACACCAACTGTATTGCTTCTGCTACTCAGGAGTGTGGAAGCAATGAATTCATCTCTGTTATAGGCATCTTGATTGCAATCAATATCTGCAATTTGGATGCCAGTCCTTGTGATTTTAGATTTAAGCTCACATTAGAAGTGATTGTTTTGATCAATTCATAAAATCCTTTTGTTTTATCTTGTAGAAAGTCTCAAATATGCACAAGAGTATACTAGCACAACATTTATTGACTTAAGAACATCTACACCCTTACTCAATTCTGCTCCTGGATTTTTTTTTTAAGAGAGAGAGAGAGGAGAGGGAGGGAGGGGGGGGGGGAGAGAGAGAGAGAGAGAGAGAGAGAGAGAGAAATAATTTTTAAAAATATTTATTGTTTAGTTTTCGGTGGACACAACATCTTTATTTTATTTTTATGTGGTGCTGAGGATAGAACCCAGCACCCTGGGTATGCCAGGTGAGCGCGATACCGCTTGAGCCACATCCCCAGCCCCTGGATTTGTTTTATGGAGTAAAATGACAAGACATCACATCATTTCATTCATAAATATTTCAGAACACATTTCTTTTTTATGTCTATTTTTATTACAATTATCTACACATATTAATTGTACAGATTAATGGATTCTCTGATTTTCTATACATGCATGATGTTCATTAACATAACCACAATTCCATTATCACACCTAAAAAATTTATTCTTTGAATTCATCAAATACTCCATCTATGTTCAAATGCGTCTTTAAGATTCTTTTTTTTTTTTTAGAATTTTAGTATTTACTTTTTAGTTTTTGGCTGACACAACATCTTTGTTTGCATGTGGTGCTGAGGATCGAACCCGGGCCGCACGCATGCCAGGCGAGCGCGCTACCGCTTGAGCCACATCCCCAGCCCCGTCTTTAAGATTCTTTAATGATTTGTTTGTTTATTTTATTTATTCATTTCTATTAAAGTTGTGTTTTCAAATCAGGGTTCCAATGAGGTCCTCCCATCTGACAGTATTTTTTTTCTTTGATGTGACAAGATGTTCCAGGCTTAGGTTGTACCCTTTCTGTCCTTACCTAAAATCAGCCATTTCCCTAAGGAATGCTAGTTTTTCTTTTTTCCCATGCCCTCCCCCATTATGGATCAGCGTCCACTTATCAGAGAGAAATGGTTGTTGTTTGTTTGTTTTGCTTTTTGTTTTTTATGGAAAATGATGTCTCAAGACTGCAATCCAGAAAGTTCATTGTCATCATTTCTAGGTCTTTCTAGTGGATAGAGCTACTTCAAATTCAGGAATAGAAGGAAATATATGTGTAGAAATATGCATATAGACAATTCATATAACCTCTTATCACATCTTATCTCTCCTTTTCCACACTGAAAAATCTGGTTCTCAGAGCATAGGAGATGATGATAAATTTAAAATTACCACCATGACTCACTTTCTTTATCCCATAACACACCTGTGATTACTAAAAGATTTATTTCTGCCCATCATCCCCCAAGCAACCTGATTACCTTCTAGGTTAACTTCTAGGGCTATGTATCTTTGGTCTACACTCGGGGAGTAAATTCTAACCCCACACTTTGATCAAGAGAGGTCTGGAGTCTCAGAGTATCAGAAAAGGTGGTGTTTTACTCCTGGTCCAGACTGAGTTTTGTGGTGTCTTTCATTGCTAAGAGACAGAGGCTGTTTTATTCTTCACGCTGTCATTGGAAGCCACTGGAAAGGACCAGAGTCTTGCCAGGTCCTGTGGGCTTCCCTCTGTTCACATTAGCCCATGTTCTTTTTTTTGGGGGGGGGGGGATGGGCAATACTGGAGATTAAACTCAGGGACACTCCATCACTGAGCCACATCCCCAGCCCTATTTTGTAGTTTATTTAGAGACAAGATCTCACTGAGTTGCTTAGCACCTGGCTTTTTTGCTGAGTCTGGCTTTGAACCCACAATCCTCCTGTCTCAGCCTCCCAAACTGCTGGGATTACTGACGTGTGCCACTGCACCCAGATACCCATGGTCTTTTATTTTTTAATTAATTAATTAATTATAATTAGGTATATATGACAGCAGAACGCATTTTGATTCATTGCACACAATTGCAGCACAACGTTTCATTTCTCTGGTTGTACATGACATAGTGTTGCACCATATGTGCAGTCATACATGTAACTAGGATAACAATGTCCATCTCATTCCACCATCTTTCCTGCCCACATACCTCCTCCTTTTCCTTCCCTCCCCATTGCTCAAAGTTCCTCCATTTTTCCCATGCCCTCCCCCATTATGGATCAGCATCCACTTATCAGAGAGAAAATTTGGCCTTTGGTTTTTGGGGATTGGTTTACTTCACTTAGCACGATATTCTCCAACTCCAACAATTTACCTGTAAATGCCATGATTTTATTCTCTTTTAATGCTGAGTAATATTCCATTGTATATATAGACCACCGTTTCTTTATCCATCCATCTACTGAAGGGCGTCTAGGTTGGTTCCACAATTTAGCTATTATGAATTGAGCTGCTATAAACATTGACGTGGCTGTGTTACTACAGTATGCTGATTTTTAAGTCCTTTGGGTATAGACCGAGGAGTGGAATAGCTGGGTCAAATGGTGGTTCCATTCCAAGTTTTCTAAGGAATCTCCATACTGCTTTCCAGATTGGCTGCACCAATTTGCAGTCCCACCAGCAATGTATGAGTGTGCCTTTCCCCCCACATCCTCGCCAACAGTTATTATTGTTTGTATTTTTGAAAACTGCCATTCTGACTAGAGTGAGATGAAATCTTAGTTTTGATTTGCATTTCTCTGATTACTAGAGATGTTGAACATTTTTCCATGCTCTTTTTTGAATGTCCACCTTACATTCAAGAAAACCCAAGATTCTAATTTATAGAGATTAGCAAATGCTCTTAGGCCAACTCTGGCTTTAGAGCTACTCAACCGCTCTAATTTCTTTCTTTCTCAATTTTCAAAACCTGGATATTTTTTTCTGTGCAAGTTCAGCTATACATTTAAAAAGATTTCTGTTATATTTGATTCAGCATTTCTAGATATTTTGCTTCCAAAATTTCCAGAAATTAAAATCCTAGTCCATTTTTCTGTCTTTTTATTGTTGTTGTTGTTGTTCAGTGGTGAAAATAGCTTTAAAGGTCTATAATTTTTTTTTAAGAGTGGCTCTAAACAGAATTTATACAACTTTACAAGTAGTATTACATGTGCTTATTGTTTGGGAGAATCTTAATTGCCACTTTGCAGAGTTTTTTTGAAATTTTTTAAAAACTATTTTATTAGTTTACTTTTTTGCGTGGTGCTGAGGATTGAACCCAGTGCCTCACATGTGCTAGGCAAGCACTGTACCACTGAGCCACAATCCCAGCCCGACTTTGCAGGGTTTTTAATCTAAATTTTTGTTAGTTCCTATAATTGTTGCCATGTGGTAGAATTTATACAATCTGCAATACATGCAGTTTTTAATAGAGATTCTGGGAGAGGTTTGCAATTTGTAATCTCTGTTATAAAAAGTGAAATATGATTATAAAAGTTACTTTATTTCTCTCTTAAACAGTTTCTTTCCAGCTTTCCCCTCGAGTTCATCTTCTTTTGCTTCCCTTTGAAATTTTAGGAATTATTGATAAAAATGCAATGAAACTTTAAAATCGTGTCTAAAAATTCAGAATTTGATTAAAAAAAAAACCTGTTAGGGTAAAAAAATAACTCTCATCTTCTCCTTATACTTAGGTGGCCAAGACATTTTTATGACAGAAGAACAAAAGAAATATTACAGTGCAATGAAAAAATTAGGAACCAAGAAACCTCAAAAACCCATTCCAAGGCCTCTGGTGAGAGCAATCGAATGATTCTAAATATATAACCTAGATAAGAGATTGCGAGGAACTCAGTTTTCTGCAAAGCCATCCTGTAAACTTGTAAAATTTACATACTTATCTAAGAACTCAAGAAAACCCCAGATACATGCAAATCCTAAGGAAATTAGGTATTCATATTCATTAGAAACAGCCTGGGCAAGAAGTTCAATGTTCATTTTTAGTGACTGCACCACAGGTGCATAGCATTGACGCAAACTTTGCAACTCGTTTGAACTTAACCATTTAAAATGTACTTAAAACGTTCTTGACCAGTGTGTGTGAGGTTGCTTGTGTGAGGCTGAGGTCACACCTACTCACTTCCACTTTATAATGAACACTGTGTATCACGGATTCAGCGACTTTTTCTGTAAAGGGCTAGATAGCAACCACTTTAGGCTTTGATGGCCCTGTGGTCTCCAGCCAGACTACTGCATTCTACTCTTGTGGCAATAAATACAGCAATCATAGACAGTAAAGGACAAATGAATGTGGCTATTATTCATTCTGAGCTCATGGACAAAAAACAAAACAAAATAAAACAACAACAACAACAAAAAAAAAAAACCCAGCCTGGTTGGCTTTCACCACTGAGCCATAATTTGCTTACCTTTCTCTCTCTGAATCCTGCTTGGTCAGGTACTATGGGTCAATACAGCAGCAGCCCCTTTGTGCTTGCTCTGTGCATTGGATTAGAAAGTACAGGTTAAGCATCCCTAAATCCAGACCCTGAAATTGGAACATGCTCCAAAATACAGTGCTTTTTGATTAGCGATGAAAAATCCCACTTTTGACCTCACGTGATGGGTCACCGTCAAAATGTGGATGTACCGAAAATATTGTATAGAATTACCTTCAGGCTATGTGTAGAAGGCAAATATGAAACACAGATTAATTTGGGGGGGGCTACTGAGGATTAAACCCAGGTGGGCTTTACCACTCAGCTACATCTCCAGTCCTTACTTGTTTTTAAATTTTGAGACAGGGTCTCACTAAGTTGCTGAGGGCCTTGCTAAATTGCTGAGGTTGGCCTGAAACTTGCAATCCTTTTGCCTCAGCCTCCCCAGTCACTGGAATTACAGGCGTGACCCAGGATAAGTGAATTTTGTGTTTAGACTTGGGTCTCATCCTGGAGATATTTCATTATGTACATGCAAATACTCACAAATTCAAAGACATCCCAAATCCAAAACATTTCTTTTCCCAACCATTTTGGATAAGGGATACTCAACCTGCAAAATAGGGGGCACATTTGGTATCTCTGAGCAGTGAGTTGGAAAGCTTCTATGGCAGGGAGGGTCAATGGGGACTGAGAAATTGAGAGAAAAGGATTGGAAGGCAGGCTTGTGGCGAGTTTGGAGATTTTTTCATTTGAACATAAAACCTGAAATGGCCAAAGGTATTCACTGCTATTCCCAGAACTCAAAACAGCTGGTGTAAAGTGTATTCTCCTTAATTACTTTTTGAACGAAAGACTGTGTTTTAGGACATAAACAGAGTTCCACTAGGATTAAATATTTGTGTTACACTAAAAGTGTCTGTGAATTTCAGGGCCAAGTGTTTAGAATTTATCCTTTGCATAGTGAGGGAATTTTTGGCCACAGGTGAATGATATAATTGTATTTGGAGAGGTTTAATCTGTTAACAGTATGTGAAACTTCAGTGTAGCTCAATCACATCTGGCTTTAATAATCTTCATTATTAGACTCGTTTAGATGGTTTGTAAAACTCTTACGCTAAATACAAACAAATGAAACTATATCCAAAATAAACTTAAAATAGAAACTTAAAAAAATACCAATCTCAGGGCTGGGGCTGTAGCTCAGTGGCAGAGCATTTGCCTAGCATGTGTGAGGCATTGGCTTCCATCCTCAGCACCATATAAAAATAAAATAAATCAATAAAATAAAGGTATTTTTAAAAATACCAATCTCACTTTCTAGTACTCCTTTCACTTTGAAGTTCTTATTTGGACTTGAGCCAACAAAACAAGGACCCAGAGACTTTGTGTTTTCTTGTGCCTATTATACAACCACTGGCTTAAGACCAGTTGGTCCAGGGATTAGAATTCACTAATTCAAAGACTCACAAGACACTGCATGTTCCCCCATATTTATCAGTTTGTTTCAAGCAGTGCAGCACGCAGCCAAACAGAACTTCAGGCACAGATAAAGCTCCTTGACCCCTCCACTGCACAGGGCATGCGAGACATGAGACATCAACCTAAAGTAGTTTGTGGAGGACTTTCCTGCAGGAAAGCTGTCACCTTCTTTCCTTAACCATCTTCTATAGCATGTTTATCCAGGGGTAATCTGGAAGCAGGTGCCAAGTCCCAGGCCTCCCTGTGTAGCCACAACCCACAGTCAAGCCTTCAACGAATGGTTCTGATACAGTCTCTCCAGCTAATACTGCATATATATCTTAATATAAGTTAATGGATCTTAACTTGTGTCTTTCGGAGATCAGTGTGGCATGATGTAAACCCAATATTATGTTCCCAGATGTCCCTGAGCCCGAGATAAGACTTCAAGTCAACTCTTAACCTGTCATCTACAACTTCACTTCCATAGAGATTTTTTTTTTAAATCTCTAAAATCTAAACCTTATATTTTGACTTTGAGAAAAAAATCTGTAGCAATGACCCAGGGAAGAAAATACAATTGGTTTAGCCTGAGCATTGATGTATTTCATTTCTAGCAATAGAGGAAAGGATTTGGAGTCACTTCTGGTTTCTCTTGAAGCATCCCATCCCCACAATGTGACTTCATTACTTGGTTTGAAAATCAGTGCTGGTTGGCAGTGGTACACACCTGTAATCCCAGAGATTTAGGGGCTTGAGGCAGGAGGATCACAAATTTGAGGCCCAGCCTTAGCAACTTAGCAAGACCCTGTCTCAAAATAAAACATAAAAAGGGCTGGGGATGTGACTCAGTGGTAAAATGCCCCTGGGTTCAATACCTGTTACCCCCCCAAAATAAAATATAATAATAATAATAATAATAATTTTTAAGAGTCTGTATATTCTGAAGTCTGTATATTGATCATCTAAAACTTTAGTAGTTTATACCCCTAATATCTATTTGTCTAAATGTTAGATTTAACTCTAAAGCCAGTACTTAGCCCCCTCACATTTCTTCTTGCCCCTTGTTCTGCTTCCCTGAAGAGCACCCTTGAACATATCTCTTCTCCATCTCCTTACTGACATTCCACATGCATCCTTACCTAGGAAATGTGGTTGGATTTCCAGTGTCTCCTCAGGACTCCTTGATAAAATCCTAGGACTTCCAACACATGACCTACTTACATATAACATCCCTTCCATGTGGTCTGTACCCTTCTTCTTGTTGCCTTAAATGACATCAGTCACTTTCATGGTTTTGATTCGTATCAGTGTTGATGGCTATGGAACTCTCCATGTCTGCCTTCCAAATTTTGCATTTGAGCTCAAAACACACACCTCTGCCTGCTCCTGGCCCTTAGATGCCCCACTGACACCTCTAACTCAACATGCTCAGGACAGATCTCATCTCTTTCCCTCAAAAATTCCTCATTCTCTGGATGTTGAAATGAACTGACTAACCAGAAACAATAGCCTCTGCCTTGTCTGTCCCATAGTCTCTTTCATCCCAACACTCCGACCATTCCTGCCTCAACCTCCACATTAGCTTTAAACTTGCATGTGTTTTTTTTTTCCTACTGGTACCACCACAAACCTACATCATCTTTTGCTGTTTTACCATAACGGATCCCTGGGAGTTCTAATGATGCATTCTTAGGGATCCATGAGTTTGCTAAATAGAACAGTGTGTGCATTCTTTGATTCAATGATAATATAAAACAATCAAATATATACATGTATTGTAAAACAACCAACATATAGTCAAAAATGCCATCCAATCTCAGGTCTGAGTTTGTGTTTCAGAATAGTTTTGCACTCAGTAAAATACCAGGTAGTGTTTCGTGGCAGAAGAGTTAAAGAAAACAATGAAATATTCGAGGTTTGATTTTTTTTTTCTATATATGCAAACTAGAGTTAGAAATTGGACCAGAGCTGTCGGTTTATAGTCACATTAAGGGCAGTACACTGGCTACATAGAAGCCAATATACAAGCTGATCATCAATAATAATAGGAAGTAATCATTTATGTTTTTTCAGTTTGGGTAATTATTGGATTAGAACCCTATTTATCTACCCTATTCTAACAAGAATTAGAAAAGAATTGGCTGAACACAGAGTTTTGGTTAAGTTATAAAATTTCTTATTGTTCTGAACTGATAAACAGAAGTTTGGAGATGTTCGTTCCCATTTTGCCCAAGACACTTATGTAAGCAAATGTTCTCTGCATTAATATTGTTGAAGTAAAAATACCAAAACAGATGAAATATTGGAGATCAAGGTTCATCCTTTTATTATTAAATCCAACAGGAGCTGTTTTGCTTCAGTAAAACAACATCATCCATCACCTCAAAGTTATGTTGCTCCCAAGAATTTTTTATCTACGGTTTTTGCTTTAAAGTAGAACTAAAATTATAAGCTTAAAAACAGTTATCTAATTAAATTTAAATGAATTTAAGGCAACACTGGGGATCTATAAGAATATCTTGCCCTTTGGAAAGGTCTGTTTTTATTTCAAGGAACGGCCTACTTGTAAGAAAGAACAAATTGTTGTATTAACATGTTTTTTAAAATGTACATGATTTCATTCTTATGTCTCAAAATGACTCAATGATTTCTTCTTTTATTTTTCTCCTCAGAATAAATGTCAAGGTCTTGTGTTTGACCTGGTCACACACCAGGTCTTTGACATCTTCATCATGAGTCTCATTGTCCTAAACATGGTTGGCATGATGGCTGAATCATATGAACAATCCGAAGGCGTGACAGTTACCTTTGATAATATCAACATAGCCTTTGTGATCATCTTTACGATAGAGTGTCTCATCAAAATCTTTGCTTTGAGGCAATACTACTTCACCAATGGCTGGAATTTATTTGATTGTGTGGTCGTGGTTCTTTCTATTATTAGTAAGTAAAATCAGCAGCCAGAGAGGCTTTTAACTGAGAACTAGAAGTAAACCTGTAAACATTATAATTTGGAAGTATGTCCAAACTATCCAACAAAGCAACAAATTAGGCTTAATGCGGTGTCTGAAAAAAAAAAAAACAGACAGGTGTACTAATGCCATCTCTAAAGGGGAGTTGCTAGGAGATAGAGAGTAATTTCCATTCCTTTGATTGTCAGCACCAATGAAATAGGTTTTTTTCAATGGTGATGAACAAAATTAAGATGATTTAGAAATTCTTGTGGTGGTACCTGATTTATACAGGTAATTGAATCAAAATCGACCTTTACTGTGCAACCATGAACTCTAATGAGCCCTCCATGATTTAGAGGATTTGGCACTTAATGCTCATGTTTTTGTTTTGTTCAAAATGCACGCAGATGCTAGATCACAGTGATCAGATCATCTAACATTACTGGCCTTTCCCTCACTTCCTGTATGGGCCCATGGCCTATTCCAGACTGGGCTTCCAGGAGTGTCTGAGAGCAACAAGCAGTGCTTTCTCTTAATTCTGAATCCATGTTCACATCAATCCTAGGGTGAATGAACCATGCTTCTCTCAACTGTTTTGACCCTGCTCACCGATCCGTCCCAGACTACAAGCATATAAATTTCCCAAACCTAGGCAAGAAGAATGAAGGTTATTGCCATATACCTTTTTTCTTTCTTTTTTTTTGGTGCTGGGGATCATGTGCTCTACTACTTAGAGTTATACCCCCCACCCCCACCCCCAGCCCTTGCCAGACATCTTTTCATAAAACACGCACAACTTTGAAATTAAATTCTTCATAGCTAACTCATTGGCATTTACTCTTGGATTTTGAAGCCTGGTTTTAACTAAACCATGGTCTAACGCTTTTTATAATTATGTAAAACTTGTCCAGGGGCCCTTTTCCTAGTTCAACAAGCAACAAAAACAAGGAAAACTGATTTCACAAGTGGATGTTTTCATGCAATCTCAGAAATGATGCATCAAACAGATAGGATGGAGCAAAATATTTTGGTTCCTGTTGCTACTGCAGCAACACAGCCATGCCAGAGAGAAAAAAAAGAAAGAAAGAAAAAAAAAGTGTTGCCTTCTCTAGTCTGCTCTGGTTTCTAAGCCATAAGGTTCTTGTAGGTAAAGTTTATAGCTAAATAGACCTTTAATCTTTATTAGTCAATTCCAATCACAAGTCCTGGTGAAATTGGAAGCAGCAATAAAAGCTAGAAGAAAATGGTGTTAGGACAGGTCTGGGTCAGCCCTCTGGAAGCTCAGAGTCCTTCCTCTGATGGGCAAAGAAGCTCGTTCACTCCACAGCTCCTTCTGGGTGGTGCCTGGCATTGTACAGTTCCTGGAAATATCTCTGACATCTGTCCTTTGGACAGCTGCTAGACAATTGCAGTTACATGTGTCAAATAGCATTTTGTTCCAGTGAATGAGAAAATTCACCCCTTAAGCCAAATCCTACTTACCAGTGTGGGCGGAACTTAATGTGCCTTTGCCAGTTCATCTGCCATTCAACACTTAGTCTCAACACATTCCCAAGCTCCTTCCTAAGCTTGTATAGTAAAACAAAACCAGAGCAAGTTGAGTGAGTCTTTCTCTAGGAGTTAGCAATCCAAGTGAGGAATTAAAGCATACTTGTCTTAAAGTATCAGAAAAAACTAGGGACCAATAACATGCTACACAAAAAACACCCTAAGTTCAGAGAAAGGACAGATAACTGTGGACCTGATTAATCAAAGTCATGTCTATGCAGAAGACAGGCCTTTTTAAAGGATGGATGTTGCTGAATTGGCACTTAATAAATTTCACTTGTTGCCAGGGTCAACTTCCCAGTTAACATATGAATTAAATTTCTTTTTTTTTTTAATATTTATTTTTTAGTTTTCGGCGGACACAACATCTTTGTTTGTATGTGGTGCTGAGGATCGGACCTGGGCCGCACGCATGCCAGGCGAGCGCGCTACCGCTTGAGCCACATCCCCAGCCCCATGAATTAAATTTCTTTGGCACAATGGGGCAGTTAGTGAAGGATATCATCAACTAGTTCTCTTTAGTCATTAGGTGATGGCAGAACCATTTTCACTGCCCATGACCCCTAATGACCTTAGAGCACCCTCAAAGCAAGAACAAGGCCATGCCTACACAAGGCAAGCATGTTCCAGCCATTCTACAATATTTGGGCCAAAATGTGACTGCTTTCACCCCTGTATCACTTGCCTGGAGAGCAGGCAATAAGAGAACAAGGGTGACATTTTAGGCCAAATATTCAGATGTTTGCACAAAGCTCTGCTTGAAGTGCGATTTCTGGGGTGTCCACCACAACAGAGAAAATATCTCCCAATTTCATGCCTCAAATTTTGTGGGCTCAGCCCTCAGGAATCCTTGGAGGAGCTTAATGACAAATGTGAGCAATCCACGAGGCAGCCTTAGCCTAAGATGAGCATCCCAATGCCACTGTCTCCCTCTGGCCCTCCGCACGCCTGTAGCAAGGCTATATTTGAATTTCTCTAAATAAACAAGAACCTGTCCCTGTTAAGGAACTTTGAGGTTATTAGGGGTTCCACAATATTCCCTGGTTGCTATGACTCAAGCCAGTCTCCAGTAGTAGAAATTTCTCCTTGACTCTGAAAGACTCCAAGTATATATAGTTTATCCTTTTTGCATTTTTATATTCAATAAATGAGGAAAATGATTTCATTTGCTGCTCTAAGAGTGGGCTTTAAAAATCCAATGTAGATAATGTTCATTAGGTGAGATAATTCCCAAAGTAGCCTTTCATAAATTAGATTCTTTTCTTTGTATGTCCAGGATATTTTATATAACTGACCCCATTGAAAGTGCTATGTAAAATTATATGGTCCTTAGAAATGATTCCCCATGTTAAAGATCAGGTGGAAATTCACTGGCTTTTCTCTTTCTCCAGGTACAATGGTCTCTGCCTTGGAAAATCAGGAGCACATTCCTTTTCCACCAACACTCTTCAGAATCGTGCGCCTGGCTCGGATTGGGCGCATCCTGAGACTTGTCCGGGCGGCGCGAGGAATCAGGACCCTCCTATTTGCTCTGATGATGTCCCTTCCCTCTCTGTTCAACATCGGTCTTCTACTCTTTCTGGTCATGTTTATTTATGCCATTTTAGGTATGAAATTTTTTTCCGAAGTGAGGAAAGGCGCTGGGATCGATGACATATTCAACTTCAAAACTTTCGAAGGCAGCATGCTCTGTCTCTTCCAGATAACCACATCAGCAGGCTGGGACTCCCTCCTCAACCCCATGCTGAATTCAGGAGAGTCAGGCAACTCCTCAGCCAACAGTCACCTCCCAGCTGTAGCCACCGCCTACTTTGTTAGTTACATCATCATCTCCTTCCTCATCGTGGTCAACATGTATATCGCTGTGATTTTAGAGAACTTCAATACAGCCACGGAAGAAAGTGAGGACCCTCTGGGGGAAGATGATTTTGAAATATTCTATGAAGTCTGGGAAAAGTTTGACCCTGAAGCCACACAGTTTATTGACTACTCTGCCCTTTCTGACTTTGCCGATGCCCTGCCTGAGCCTTTGCGTGTGGCCAAGCCAAATAAATTCCAGTTCCTTGTCATGGACTTGCCCATGGTGAGTGGGGATCGTCTCCACTGCATGGATATTCTCTTTGCCTTCACCACTAGGGTCCTTGGTGACTCCACTGGCCTGGATACCATGAAAGCTATGATGGAGGAAAAGTTCATGGAAGCCAACCCCTTCAGGAAGTTATATGAACCCATAGTCACTACCACCAAGAGAAAGGAAGAGGAAAGAGGTGCTGCTATCATTCAAAAGGCCTTTCGGAGGTACATGATGAAGATGACCAAGTGTGCCTTGGAAGACAGGCCTCCTGCGTCATTCCAGACACTTTGCAACGGAGACTTGTCAAGCTCTGAGGGAGCCAAGGGCAAAGTGCACTATGACTGAGCCTCTCACCTCACCCCTACCTCACAGCCTCACAGTCCTGCCTCCAGCCTTAGCTCAGAGGTCTGCAGCTCGGTGTAGGAACAAGCCGTGAACTCATTGAATGAGCCATTCTATTTTGGTTTTTGGACCGAAAGAAGTGATAGTTCAGTATTCATTTAAAATGATTCTTGCAGAGGTATAAGATAAGGCTGCCTTAACTGTTTACTGCTGGTACTATTTTAGTAAGGAACAAGACACAAGATAGGGCTGCAGAGGATATCCTCACTAAAGTTAGGATTGAAACACTGTTCGACTGACATAAAAACAAAAGAATAAAACAAACAAAAATCATGTTAAAATTTTAAATTGTGTCCCCATATGTTTCTAGGTATAATACCTTTGCTGAATGATTTTCCAATGAGAGTATGTAGTTTAACCACATAGAGCTCTTTTATGTGCTAAGTGAAAAATAAAAACCTGCCAATAAATGAATTGCTTATCACAGATTTTTTTTTTTTTTTGGCCAACATTAAGTATTTGGGGGTGTATCTCAAACCTAAAAGCACAATCTTGACTTGTCAGTTACCAAGCTGTCTTTTTGCAAGCTGCAATCTCTGTTATATATACTTATCAAGTAAATAAATAAATGAGACTTTTCCATTTGTGCTTCATTGAGATAGTACACTAATATTTCCTTCTTGTTTGGTGGCTGCCTATGCGGTGGCTTAATGTGGGTCTTTGCTTGGAATTAAAGCTGGTGCCAGCAGTCTGTCTGATAAGTGTTTAACAATGAGCTCTTCAGGGGGAAAAAAACCATTGCATTATAGCATTCACTGATTTCTGTGATGTGAATACTCCCATCATGGCTGATTTCAAGCTAACAACATGTTGGGAAAAGATGCCCATAATAAATTTTGGAGAGGTGGCCTGAGCTGGCTTCAGTATACCATTAGCCAGAATTAATAAGGAAATCCTGGTTATAACATCTGCAGTGAGTGCCTTGGACAGAGGGAGCATTTTAAAGCAATATCTGGGCTACAGGATGGGGGACCATAAGACATACTGGTTAGCCAGCAATCTTAGACATCAGATGAGCCCTCCACTCAGTTCTGGCTGAATGTCATCATGAAATGTGACATTCAAAGCAAAACTCAGACTTACCAGAAGGACTTGGCAGCCCAGGACTTCCACAAATACTAGAGATGCTCAGAAGTCAAAAGAGGCACTAGGTTTTCAGCCTTCCAAGTGCCCAGACTGGGTACAAATAAACTGCATTGTAATATTCTAGGTGCAGAGGGAAAACTCTAGGTGTAGCCCTGGAATCTGTACTCAGCCAGGTGGGAAGAGTCCATGGGTCTGCCAGCAGCCTGGAGCCTGAGGTCCAAGCCTTTGACCTGGCCACCACTGTCCAGGAGATGGAAACACAGCACTAGATACTGTGGTGGGCTGAGGCAGTGATTATTTCCAATGGGTGTAAGATCCAAACTTGATACAATGTATTTTTAGCTAGGATCTGAGTTTTGTAGGTAGCCTTGTGTTCTGGATCATTGACTAAAATAGTAATAGTATCATTACAAATATTTATCAAGTGGTTGTTCTGCATGGGGCACTGGCTAAAGCATTTATCATGAATAATCTCATTTGTACCTCATAACAGCCCAATGAGTAAGATGTACCCCATTTAAATATGAGAAAACTGAGGGTCAGAGAGTTTCGTGACTTGTACACCATCATTCACCTGGTGAGGCCTGAGCCTTTGTGTCTTGCTGGGGAAGTGGGGGAAGTTTTCTGAAAAAGATGGTGGTCATCATTCCAGTAGGGTGCCTCTTTGCTGCAGCAGGAGGAAGAGAGGGAAAGATCTTGCCCATATCAGACTACCGGGTAGGGGCTTGGATATCATCTGCTTTCTGCAAAGCTTCAGCCATTCTTACATACACCTGAATAACATCTGGCCAGGCTGGAATCCTGGAGCTGCCTCCTGGGGAGAGCACAGGATCTGCTTGGCTATACCAAGAGGTTGAACTATGCTTCTTTCACTAGATGGCAGCAAATGACCAACACGTTCTTAGCACAGCAATCTATGTGTGAGCCCAGCACTGAAGAGAGCCAGAGGGCTGAGGGAGAGAAGCCAAGGCAGGAAGTGCTGAATTATCCCAAACTTGGATGAGTTCCAGAAAACTTAGCCTCCCCAGAGGTACCTCACGCTGTGAGAACACCAAGGTTCCCCCAAGAGGCAGAGATATTGATCTGAGATCTGTTCGCCAGGGATCACACTGAAGGTCTGTGGTAAACAGCTCTACAGGCACATAAGGCCAGGTCGGTCCCCTAGTCCTCCAAGCCTTCTCCAGGTAAATGAAGCCCTGCTCAGGTCAGTCGAGAAACATGTTCCTAAGGACCAATGTAGAATACTTTGTGCAATGGCTACTGACCAGTGACCCTTACTTAGCCTCAAAAGCATATGCTAATGAGGAAGAGAATCAGGTGTTCATATGATGATGATGCCATACACTATGACAAGTGCCAGAAACCAAAGACTACCTCTGCTCTGAGGATGTGAATAGAGGAAGACCTTGTGAGAGATGAACCTTCAGTCATCTGAGATCAGCTTGATAAATGTATAGGATTTTGACAGGTGGAGGTGGTTTAAGAAGGTGTCTGAAATGGAAAAGACAGTGCAGGCAGCACCCTGGGTGCTAGAAAGTGTGAGGGAGTCTGAGTTACCCAACTGCCTGGACAAAGCCAGAGTGAAGAGTTATTAAGGTAATAGGGAGGCATTAAAGGTATTTGAGCAGGGGAGGAAAAATAACTGGACAGGGTGTGCAGGGTAGAACAGAGGAGAAGGAGTCTGTCATATTGGTCCTGGTGAAGGAGGAGGCACTGAGCCAGGAAAGGGACAGTGCAGTGGAACTCTGAGATGTTCACCCCGACTGACTGCCGTGGAGGAGAAGTTTGGGAGGACCTCAGAATTTTTAATTAGGGGACAAGAGAGATGACAGTACAGGTTACCAAGTTAATGAATATCGGAAGAGCAAGTCTTTGTTTCTTTTTATTTGCTTTTGTGGCTAAGGAAAAAGGAAATCCCTAAATTAATTCAATTTTAAGTTCTTTGCAGGTTTGAGATGACAGGTTGAGGTGACAATTTCTAGCCAGGCCTAGAGAGTGAGGTCAAGGTGTGATCAGGAGTCTTCAGTGCAAAGGTGACATCTGAATCCCCAGGAGCAGGTGAAATCAAGGGAGAGAGCAGACACAGATCTCAGGGGCAGAGGACTTGCCCTGTTGATGTGGAGTGAGATGGTTCAGAGAAAAGGATGTGGGGAGGGAGTGACAGTGAATACCATGACACGAGGTACAGACCCAGAGCAGGTTCCACTGGAGAAACTCACAGTCAAAAGATGAGATGCATGGTCCCAAGTTTTCAATCCTCTCTCCTAGAAGCATGCAGGAGCCAGGCCATGCTGTGGTTTTCTAGCAGAGTTCCCCCCGCTACTTCTTTACCTTTGATAGGGCAAGAAAGAGAGCTTGCCTTACAACTAATCAGGCTCAGGAACTAGCTGTGCCCTGCAACGGTCCTGGAATGTCAGCTACTAGCACCCAATGCCTTTGGGGAAGTCGGAAGCCTGCACAGCTCCCACTGGTCCCAGATAGGTTGTTGCCTGGCAACCCAGATGGAACCATTGGGGTCATTGAATGGGCGATCCCATGCTCCATATACAAGGACTAATCAAAGAGACTACAAGAAAATGAGAGATAATATTTATCGAACATGTATTATGGACCAGGTAGCAAATTCACCAGCATGACCTCATCAAATTACCATGAATACTCTCTTAGATAGAAACCATTGTTAACCCTCATCAGACTGAGGCATAAAAGGGAAGTAAGAGGTTTATTCAAGGTCACACAGCCAATACATGAATCCCTGTCAGGATTCAAACCCCAGCATCTGGCTCTAGATCTCAAGCTATCAACCACTACATTGCTCTGCCCCACAGACAACAAGGGATCTCATAGTGGAAGTTGAAGGGAGGGTGCAATTTTCTGGTGCCTTCTGTGATTTCCTCTCCTCTAGATATGATGCATGCTTTCAAAGTTCTCACAGTGTGGAAACCTGCATTGAGGAGATGTTCTGCTTCCTCTTCCAATTTGACATACTCATCTCAGTTGATATATTTGGTTTCCTAATATTTTGACAGAGTTTCTATCCTTTTATCATTCTCCTTCCCCTTCTCCAGGCAAATGCAGGTTAATCTACCTCCTCTCAAATCAGGTGCCCAGGGAGCAGTGAAACTATCCCCTCTCCTTGGACAGCATACTTCTATTAATATAGACTCAAATGTGCTAGTTAGACAGTGGTCGTATCAAGAGTTGCCCTGGGGATACTAATTTAACTTTCCCTTAATCTCTATCAATCCCCCAACTCAAGACACCCTGAATTAACATACAGTCTATCTAAAAATATTGTGACTTCTGTGCTGATGTAACAACAAAGTCCCGTTACCCTCTTTCCATGCTCTAAACTTTTCCGATACTTTAAAATCATTTATGAAGCCAACTCACATTGGTAGTTCATATTCTACTTATTCATAAGCTCTAGTCAGAATTCCAGGTAGTTTTTTTTTCTAAAAAATTAATAGTTTAAAAAGAAATACTTGAAAAACATTTTTATGGGCATAAATGGAGGTCTCAAGAAGGTTCTGGATCACCCATTTTAGCCACAAAGTTTGAAAGGGGAGATTTTGCTATTCCCTGGGAAAGCAGCTGAGCCCCCAGGTGAAGGCCCACCCATCTAGGGGGACTTGTCCAGCAAAGGAAAGAACTACACTGAAGTTGGGAGTGACTACTCCAGAATGGGGGTAAAAATATAGATGAGTGTGAAAAACTTGAATAGAACCGTCAACCAACTCAATCAACTTGCTTTTTATAGAATTTGATAAGAACAAAATATACATTATTTTCAGGTATATATAGAATATTTCCCGAGATAAGTCCATGAAGTGTGTTAATACATTTTAAAATACTCAAAATCGTAAAAACATGTTGTTATAATCACAGTGGAACTGCATTAGAAATCAATAAGAAGATGTCTGGAAAAAATCTCTTAAAAGGTAGAAACAAAAAATAATTTACTCTTAAGTAACTCATGGGTCTAAGAAGAAATCAAAAGGGAAATTAAAAATACTTTGAACTAAATAAAAATGAAATCAAAAACACAACCTTTGAAAATGTGTGGGATACGGCTAAATCAGTAGCAAGAGGAAAAATGTAGAGCACTAATTGTTAAGTTAGGAGAAAAGGAAATAAAAGAAAAGAGAAGAAAGTTCCCAAACAACAACTTCACTCCCATAATAAATGGGAAAAAAGAGCAATTGAAACCAGAAGAAATGAAATAATACAGAAATTAATGAAATGTATAGCACAAAAATAATAAAGAAAGTCAATGAAACTTTCTTTGGAAAGATCAATAAAAATCAATA